TTCCTTGGAAAGGTGGGAATGGAACCACCATTCGACCCAGCTATTCCCCTTCTCGGACTATTCCCAAAAGACCTAAAAAGAGCGTACTACAGGGATACAGCTACATCAATGTTCATAGCAACACAATTCACAATAGCTAGACTGTGGAGCCAACCTAGATGTCCTTCAATAGATGAATGGATAAAAAAAATGTGGCATTTATACACAATGGAATATTACTCAGCACTAAAAAATAACAAAATCATGGCATTTGCAGGGAAATGGATGGCATTAGAGAAGATTATGCTAAGTGAAGTTAGCTAATCCTTAAAAAACAAATGCCGAATGTCTTCTTTGATATAAGGAGGGTAACTCAAAACAGAGCAGGGAGGAAGAGCATGAGAAGAAGATTACCATTAAGCAGGGACGAGAGGTGGGAGGGAATGGGAGAGAGAAGGGGAATTGCATGGAAGATGGAAGGAGACCCTCATTGTTATACAAAATTACATATAAGAGGATGTGAGGGGAAAGGGAAAAAGAGAGAAATGAGTTACAGTAGATGGGGTAGAGATGATGGGAGGGGAGGGGGGATAGGAAGGGGATAGGAAGGGCAGCAGAATACAACAGACACTAGTATGGCAGTATGTATAAATGTGGATGTGTAACCAATGTGATCCTGCAGTCTGTACACGTGGGAAAAATAAGAATTCATACCCCATTTGAATCAAATGTATGATATATGATATGTCAAGATCATTGTAATGTTTTTAGCAACCAATAAAAAAAAAAGAATAATGCGAAGTTGATACTCCATGCTTTTGTTTTGTTTTGAAGGTAATTTTCTTTATGAAAAAAAAATACCTATACTTTTTGGTAGCTCTTAAATATATAATTTTAAGCTTCATTAAAACAATTTTGCTCATTGTAGGGGATTTTAATTAAGGTTTATAGGTGGTTATATTTGCTTTGATTGATTAACCAAGAACTTTTAAAATGATCTAAACAAAAATATGATTACTATGCTTTTAAGTTTCTTCAGTTTACATAAATATAAGGTTTTGCTGCCCTCTGCCTGTTGCTAGCCCACCAACAACTGAAGTAGAACTTGAAACCTTTAAAGTGGTTTTTTTGAATTCCTATTTATAAACATAGATCTGTGTAGGGACTTATTGAATTTGGTAAATTGACCTCAGAGATCTTTTTGAAACTGATATTTTTTGATTTTAAATGACATAGGAGAGTACTCATGTATAGGTTTAAATGAAGATAATTTGGCAAAATATATTTTGGTTTGGTAAATTTACCAAACTTATAAACCAAATGAAGGTAATTTTATTTTGAAAAACATCTGAAAATGAGAGTTAAAAGTACTCTTTTATAAGTGAAAACTGTTGCTTCTGTAATAATTTATTATTTATAACTATTATAAATATGTATATAATAAATAAGCACTTATTATCAGTGATCAATTTATAGGATGAAGAACTAATGGAAAACCTATGTATCCTGTCAACTGTATCATACAGTTTATTGTATTGTGTTGGAATCAGCATCATAGAGTAGTCTGATAACTGCTATTACTCTTACTCAGTGAGCAAAGCTGACTGAGGGTAAGGAAATATTTATATATCACAGTTTTGGCTTTTCATGGTACAGCTGATTAATTCAGCGCAATGTAGAAACATACCTCCTAAAAATATTGTTAATCACATTTTGCATATTCTGATTCATGAGGTCTAGGTTAGGGAAAGTCTGCACTTATTATCCAGCTCTTAGATAATGCCATCTCTGCTCTGATTGGCAATAGACCACCGATCCCTCAGTGCAGGAGATGTTGATTCTTCTCATCCATCATCGGTGATGGATGCGCACTGTAACACCTTTACTTTTAGTTCTAAACAACATGTGATTAATGCTTATACTTGTAATCAGCTGATTTAAGTCTGGGGTATGAATGTGATTATCCTATGGAGCCGTGCCAGGATTAAGCTTCCGACCTTACTTAGGACTGTGTTTTGAGTTACTGAAGGGACAGTTTCAGATGTAGATATGTGGAGTAAAAAGGTCAGAATTCTTTGGTGAAGTGAAAGGAGGACAGAAAGGAAGTAAGTGTTCATTGAGTGCTATAAAATGTAGGTTCTGCTTGATACTTGTTCAATTTCATAGCAGTTATTATTTTTTGACTAAAGTTAGAGAACATTTTTAAAAACTAAAACCCAGATTTTTCAGAGTTAGATCCACTATGATATAGTATTTTAGCATGGTGTTCAAGTAACCAAGCCTTTTTTTTTTTTTGCTAATTCTTCTTTATCTTCCTGTTAAAAAGGTAGAATTCCAGGACTGACCAAGGCCCTCAAAAGATGTCATCCCATTTATGATCTTTAAATGCCATCTCTATTTGACATTTCCCAAATGTATCTGTCCAGATCAGACACGTCACCTGACTCCAAACTTACGTAATCCAGTATTCTTTCTGATGTTTTTACTTCCATGACAATACCTCCAGCTTCATGTCCCAAACCTAACTCTTTGTCTCTCTACCCAAATGTTGTCTTCACCGTTTATATATATGGCCCCTTGATCAACTATTGATCAAGGCAAAAAACCTTAGAGGTGGCCTCGATTGCTGTCTCTCAGTCACACCTAGATCCAATCCCTGGGCAGAATTTGCCATTTAATCCTTGAATATCTACCCTGAATTTGAACTGAATCAAACCCATCCTCCAGCTTCGCCTGGGTTATTGCAGTGAACTCCTCATTGTTTTCCCAGCTTCCACCTTTGCACTTTACCATTTTTCTCCACAAACTGATCCTTTGTCAAAACCTTCCAGCAGTTTTCATCAGTGAGCAAGTGAATCTTACCTGATGTGGCATGCCACTGCTCTCTGTCTCTGTGGGCCAGACTTATCTACCCTGAGCTCTTTGCAGCCAAAATGTAGCCTCTCCGAGTCTTTGTACTTGAAGTTTCCTCCTCCATGACTGCTTTCCCTCCAGATATCCACATGGCTTCTAACTATCAGGTTTCTGCTCACATGTCGCTAGGTTAGAAAGGCCTTCTACCTCAGCTTTCAAGTGCCAGTGCTTCCCCTGCCTCCACTCCCTTACCCATTCCTGCCGCAGTCTGGCTGGGCACAATCAGGAGCCACTTGTCAAAAGAAACTAACTTTATTTTTAGAACCACACACGCCAAACAAAACAGCTCCTCAGGAAAAACCCTCAGAGCCTCAACTGCCACCACCGGCTTTCCACAAGCCTCTCTCTCCCACACAAGCTTCTCTCCACCTCCCACAATCCTCCTGCTCTTGAGGCCGATTGGCTGGGTCACGTGGGCGGAGCCAAAAAAGTCCCCCAATGAGCAGCTCCGTGGTCTGAAAGGGCAGGGAAACAGCCCAATGAGCATCACCGCAGAGGAGCCAATCAGCTAGATGTTGCTGGGGCCGAGGAGCCAATCAGCTAGATGTTGCTGGGGCCGCTGTGAGCCAATCATCAGCCGGCAGCTGGAAGTTTGCTGGCAGCTGGAAGTTTGCTGGGGCCCCTTAGGCTGTGGCTCTCAACACATTCCTGTTTCAAAACATCTGAGCACTTCTAGACACATCTGACAGATTTTGGGGGTGGGGTTTGTTTCACCCTCTGCCTTCCCCGAAGGAATGTCAGCTTCTTGAGGGCCAGGGTTAAAGTTTGGTTTTGCTTCCTGCTGTATTTTGAGGATCAGAATGGTGCCTGACATGGGAGAACCTAGTGGGAGCTCAATTAATAAATCCTGAGTGAGTGTCTCATAGGTGAGCAGATAATGTACTGCTCCCCCCACCACTAGTTCTTTATAAAGTAATAAATTTCTCTTTGCTTTCTCATAGTGTCTGTCTTACTTAGTCTAGAGGTTTCTTTTGCTTTGTGACCTAAAAATTCAGTTCCTTTAGTTTTGGATCTTCATTTGGCAACCTTATTTTATTTCAGCCAGTTTTTAATTGATTCAGCTCTTAATATTAGACATTCATGATTATCTTTAAAGCAGATCATCCATAAAATTAATCTTGACCAGCACCCTCTTCATAAAGACAGCTTTTCAGCCGTATTAGTGAACCTGTTAAATGGTGTCTCAGTATAGACTTTTCAGTTCTTTAACTAATGTTTAGAATCTTACCACAAACTAGAATCACTAAAAAATAGCTGATTTAGTTTTAAATCCTTTAAGTTATAAAATATATCTAATCAAGTATAATATAATAAAATTGTCTTTTATGAGTATTCTAGAACTGTTTTGAATATGTTGTATATTCCCTTTATTTATTTTTTTTTAAAAGAGAGAGAGAGAGAGAGAGAGAGAGAGAGAGAGAGAATTTTAATATTTATTTTTTAGTTTTCGGACACAACATCTTTGTTTGTATGTGGTGTTGAGGATTGAACCCGGGCCGCACGCATGCCAGGCGAGAGCGCTACTGCTTGAGCCACATCCACAGCCCTGTATTTTCCCTTTAAATGACAAGACAAAAAGTTGATTTCTGTTGAGATCACTCTAGTTCTACCTGATTCAATGTTAGTCAATTTAATATGTAGTAGTACATAAGTAGTATCTCAGTGTTTGTGTTCATTTTTGTGAAGGGGAAGTGTTGTTGTCGCAGACTTGTATTGGGTCATTGTGGCAAGTGGTGAGCATATATATGTAATTACTTAGAGAAGAAGGACTTGTCCTGTACTTGAAGGATAAACTGTGCAGAGCTTAGGAAGAGAGTAATCCTGGGTGTTAGTTTGGGGAAGGGAAGAAGAAAGTACTCAGTATTCTGGGCTTTCAGAAAGAATTGATGTTTGGACGTAAGACATTTTGGACATAAAAAAAATTGCATTTCACAATGACATAGGGGTAGATGGTATGTTGGGAAATAGAATTTTCTTTGAAAAAAGCCTAGATTTTTGTGGTAGAGAATTACTAAAAAGGAAGTTGGACTAGATTAAGATTATAGTCTTATCATATTTTTATAAAATTATTTCTTAAACAAAATTCTAATTTTTTTTGATTTATCAAGGCAAGTGAGTTTTTACCAGAGACGATGTCAACAGCATTATTTCTTCTTTCTTTGGACATGCCTGTTTCATTGGAATATCCAACTATTCACGAAGCTGTTGTGGCCTATTTGGAACAGCTGAATTCTGAAAACTACAGTATTTATAAACGAGCTGCAGAGGCTATTTATTCAATTGAATGTACCTGTAACTTCCTGTCTGATGTGGGGAAGGAGGTAAGATGTTTGTTGATACCTCTTTTAAAAACTTGTAATGAAGTATTCAGAAAATTTAACCTACACAAGTTAATGGATATATAAAAATTGAATTGCTACAGATGAGATATGTTATTATTGAGTGGATCTATTAGTAGATTAAAGTAAGGACATGATTTGTATAAAAATAAAACAAATACTTCACATTAATGAATGGTGCTTATTTAAATATCAGTGTTCAAATAAAGAAATATTTAATTCCAAGTATCTTAATACTTAATAGTGAGTACCTAAATGAAGTAACTTGCTGTATACAAACTAAGTGATGATTGATGTAACCATAGAATTATGAGTACCATTTTAAGGAATACTTGCTGACATTTTTTGTTTTTATTTTATAGACACTTATTACATATTCATACTTAGAACCCTGTTTTTTTATTGAATGCAGTTATGAACTACATGGCTTATAAAATAATAAGATACTTTAGGTATAATGTTGTAGTAATAGTTATGTATTTGTATTTATCCCTTTAAAAAAAACACTGTTAGGGCATTAGTTGGTATGCTGTCAATGAGAGGATTAGTGGGTCTTAGAGATGACGTTGACTACAATAATGTTTTACTGTCTGAGAATATCAAAATGGATCCTGAAGGTATCGAAGAATTAGAGACAAAAATCCTGTTCCTTTTGGACCCTACAGAGGAGTATATCTGAATCTCATATTTATAATTTTCCTTTATTTACTTATTTACTTTTTCTTCCTTCTCCTCCTCCTCCTCTTTTACTTTCTTTCTTTTCCTTTTTAGTACCTTGATCCACTGGCCTATGTCTTTTGGGAGAATTATTTCTGTAGTACTCTGCATGGTGATTTAATTACAATGTATCAAATGTCCTATATGTTCCTACTAGGACTGGTCAGGGTGTTAGAAGAGTACCCTCACCCTGCCTTTAGCAGGGATGCAGGGACCCAAGCTAGTGGTTAAAGAACTAGGCAACTATGTTGCAGCTTCCTGCCTGCTGGTGTGAAACAGGAGTTCCCAGAGCTACTCCCAGTTTGGCATTTTTAGGTTGCTTGTTGAGAAAGTGGATGTACATGTATGCAAATATGAGCGATCTCAGGGTCTCTGAATAATTTTTCTGAGTTTCTTAGTTAGCTGTTGAGAATTTTATTGTATATGAACTTAACATTTATTATCCTATTCTGCTTCTTTTTCAGGGAGAGAAGAATCTCTTAGAATTAGTGGAGCTAGCTGACCAAGCCTTGTGTAGCTTTTCCTATCATCAGCATTTCCCTCTAATAAAAGAAATCATCTGCATTTGTTCAAAGATGTAATATTTTCTTTCTTAATATGATTCTGTTATTGTAGGACACTGTGTGTGTGTAAGTTTAGGAGTAATGAGAATTAAAATGACCTTAAATCTTTATTACTGATAGTTTAAATTGCTTTTCCATATGTCTGACTTGTAAACTATATATGTATAGCTGCGTTGTATACATATAGTTTTTTTAAAATTATTTTTAAGTTGTAGTTGGACACAATACCTTTATTTTATTTATTTTTATGTGGTGCTGAGGATCGAACCCAGGGCCTCACACATACTAGGCAAGTGCTCTACCACTGAGCCACAACCCCAGCCCCACAGAGTTTATTTAAGAGTAAATTTTAAAAATGTCATGCCCATAATCAAAATGGTAACCTTTGGATTTTTATACATTTGTTTTGGTGTCCATCCAGACCAAATGTTCAAACACATTTATTTACCTTTAAAGTTTTAATTGATAATTTACATTTCAAGTTTTATAAGTCTTATTATTTTATACCTTTTTCTTAAATGGAAGTTTGAAAAGCACTATTGTTGATTAATTTGTTTTGAGGACATTGGAGAAAATTCCTGTTTAGAAATTAATATCTTCATTGCTTTGTAATAATAAATCTATTACATGTTTAACATTAATTATGAGATTTTAAAAGGCATTTTAAAAAATTCTCTTTGAGAACATTTTCTACTCTAAAACAAGTGTTTAGGTAATTTCCAGTAGTCTGTTTAGTTATATCCCAGCTGGAGGAAGTAGAGTAGGAAGATGTCTCCTTCAGTATGCTTTGCAGTCTTTTCTTAGCTCTGACTTGCCTTACACATCTTGGATGTTTTCCTTTTTTACCAGTTGGAAATCTGCACAGGCCAGTCCACTGCTGCAAGGAGAAAGTCAGAAAGTGTTCCTGCACATGTTGTCCCACCCATTGCCACAAGTGAAAGCTGAAACTTACAACTGCTGTCTGGAGATGGTTAAGGTGGCGGTTGGTTTTGTTTTGAGAACTAGTAATGGGTTCTCTTATTAGTCTTCCAGAATTAAATTACTTGACCTTTTGCGTGAGATATAAAATAACAATATTCTATAAAAATACATGTCAATTCTAGGAAATATGTACTATTTTTAAAAAAATGTTATTTGTTCTTTTTAGGAAATATGATACTACTAAATTCCTTTAGCTTAGTAAGTCTAGCAATTGAATTGCTTTATTATATTTTAACATTCTTGTATGTACTATGTATAACAAATGTTTGTATTTTGCCATTTTTTACTTCTGATCCATTTTAATGTATTTATTTATTTATTTTTGTGGTTCTGAAGATCAAACCTGGAATCTCGAGCATGCCAGGCAAAGCACTCTACCACTGAGCTCTTGGCCCACTTCTGATCTGTTTTTATTCACACAAATAGAAATACTGCAGAGTGGAAGCTTCTTTCTTTTCTCTTCACTCTTCTTCCTCCAGTGCAGCGTGGCCACTCATAAAGTTGGTCTGTGTCCTTCCCATCCATTTTTTAATGTATATGTTTACTATATACATATCTTTAAGTATGATATACTATTGTTTTCTCTTTTTAAAAACTATATGTCATACCACACATGATTTTACCAGTTGTTCTTTTCATTTCATGGTAGGATTTGAGGTCCACCTAGTTTATTCTTCCATATTGTTAAGCTTGAATAGCTTTTTTTTTTTTTTTTTTCTGGTAAATATTTAGGTTTAGCCCCACACCATACATACCCACACACTGTTTTTTTTTTTGGTGGTGCTAGGAGTCCAACACAGGGTTAGACAAGCACTCTACCACTGAACTATATCCCTAGTGTGATTGAGTCCTTTTTACTAAAGTACGTTTTTCAGTATTTTCTGACTTTGTGCCTATGTTTGGAAATGTTTTGATTTCACTTTACTTTTTTGTGGTGCTGGGGATCAAACTCAGGACTTTGCACATGCTAGACAAGCACTCTACTAACTGAGCTACATCTCTAGCCCTTCACTTTACTCTTGAATAATAATTTTCCTGAAATAGAATTATAGAATGACTGCTGTGTGTCCTTAGTACTTTTCCAGTGTTGCTTAATTCTTGTTAGACTTCTGCTTTTGATTAGTTTGCTACCAGCTAAATTATAATTTCTTTGTATTTTTTTTGCTTCTTACTTTTTTATTATATTACAAGCATTTGTCACATTTTTATAAACATGTCACTTACAATATTTAATCATTGCATAATATTCCACCACAATTTTATAACATGATTTTTGTAACAATTAGTCAGTTTTCTATCATATAAACTGTTTCCAATTTTTTATCTTCATATATAGTACAGCAGTGAATGTTTTTGTACATCATCTTTGTCCCACATTTAGGATTTGTTCTTTTTTTTTTTTTCTCTTCTACAGATATTTATTGAGTATCCATTCTAAGCCAGACACTGTTCTAGGTGCTGCAGATACAATGTCACCGAAACATAGATGCATCAGTGTATTTTTTCCCTCTATTGTTTTTTTGTTTTTAAATTAAAAAAAATCTTTTCTCTGGCATTCCATAGTTTCATTACAGTGTATTACTCTGCACACTTGTTTTTAAAATTTATTTTGCCTAGGACTTTTCAATGCAACACTCATGTCTGTCTCTGTCTGTATTCCTGTATAATTTTCAGTCATTATTAATTTGAATATTGCTTTCCTCCTATCCTGTCTACTCTCTCCATGTCTTTATCTTTTTTTTCCCAGTTGCTTTTCTACTTCATGATCTCAGTGGTTCTTTTTAAATTTTTTTATTTGTTATAATTAGCTGTACATGACAGTAGAATGCATTTGGAGAAGTCTCCCTTCTTTGAGGAATTTGTTTCTTGCAGATAACGTGCAGTTGAGTCTTTTTTAAAAATCTACTTTACCAGTCTGTCTTTTAATTAAAGAGCTGAGACCTTTTATATTTAGAATTATTATAGAGAAATGTTTATTGTTTCTTGTCTTTTTGATTTATTTCTAATGTTTAATCTAATTCTATTTTTTTTTTACTTAATTACTCTTTTAATGACATTTATCTTTCCTGAGCTCTGGTGTTTTTGTTTTTTAACTTCTCTGTGTAAGATTTTTTAAGATATTTTGAGTTACTGGCTTAGTTGTTATAAATTCTTTTAGTTTATACTTACCTTGAAAGGTTTTAAGTTTCCTTCAATTCTGAAGGATAGCTTTGCTAGATATAGCAATGTTGTTTGGTAGTAATTTTCATTTAGTTCTTGAAACACATTATTCTATGACCTCTTGGATTTTTAGGGTTTCTGAGAAATCTTATGCTAATATGATTGGTTTATCTCTAAAGGTGACTTGTTTTTCTCTTGAGACTTTTAAAATTCTATTTTTATTCTGTATATTTAGCATTCTATTCATAATTTGTTGTGGAGAATTTCTTTTTTGATCTTGTCTAGTTGGGATTCTAAATGTCTCCTATATCTACATGTCCATAATATTTTCAAAGTTTGGAAAACAATGTTTTTTTCCTTTAATACAGTCTGAATATTCAAGGCCAGCCATCGTTTTCAGGCTCTGAGAGTTGGTTTTGTTCTTGATCTGATCCATTGCTATGACTTTCAACTGAATTTTTAAAATTAGATTTATCAAGTCTTTCATTTCTAAGATTTCTGTTTTACTCTTATTCAAAACCTCTGTCTCTTTATCGAAATGCTTTTTCACATTCTATACTTTTTTCTATAGTTCATTCCTTAGATCTGCTTAGATCTTGTTCTAATTATTTCAGCAAGTGATTCTTTGGTTTCTTTGTCTTGAATTTCTTCTACTTCAGTATCTGTGGATTCACTTTTTGGGGGACTATAAATTTTGGAGGTGTCTTGTTGGACTGTTTCTTCATGTTTTCTGATGTCCCATGTTTGTACATTCCTTTTACATGCCGGGTCCTTTAGTGGTTAATTGTATCTTTAGTATTAGTCCCAGGCTGGGGAATATCTTAGCTTCAGCATGTCCAGTCAGCATAATCAGAGCCTCATGTCCAACTGCCAGTACCACTTTGGGAGGAGATAGTAACTGCCAGAAAGAGTGGTGATTCAAGAGCAGTCCGCATCAGCATACTCCATGAAGCTGCTACTGCTGACCTCTCTACACCTCTCAGCTAAAGTGAGAAATAATCCAGAATGGGCTGAAGAAATTAAATATTAAATATAACAGACTAAATTCAATTGGAAGAAGGGATAAAAAATAAAAGAAAAAAAAAGGGTGTGGGGGAGGGAAGGGAGAAAAAAGATAGTATGAAGAAAGAAAAAGGATGAAGGAGAGGAAAAGGGAATGAAGTCAGTGAACAAGAGAAGAACTGTTGGGAGAGGGTCCAATTAAGTGACGAAACATGTAAAATTAGAAGTGTAAAAATACAATATTTGGGAGTTCACTAGAAATGAGTTTAAACCAAGTAGTTATTGCAATAGCAGTCATAAAAAGAGATTTGGTTTTCTTCTAGCTGAAATTTTTAGAGTGGAGACATTTCTCTCCAGGTTTTTGAATTTAGAATACGTAGCTGTGAAGCAGTTTGTGTGACAGTAACATTGTTCTGTTTATTTTTTCTCAGCTTTGACCCAGATTGGCCAAACTTGTTAGGGCTTTGTTGAGTTTCACCCCCTTTGCCTGGCAGCATCTGTTGGGGGAGTGTTGTCTGTTTTGGAGCCCTCAAAGTGGCTTTGTTATTATGACCTGGATGGGAGTAGAAGTCTGGCACAGCTGCTGTCCAGCCCTCTGCCCTCTCACCCTGCAGCTTATAGACTGGTTTGGACTGTGCCGCATGACTTGTTCCAAGAGCTTCAGTCTGTGTGCTGAGGGATGTGTGTGGGATGCATCAGTTTGACTTCCAGGCACCTCTGGCGATGGGGCAGGTTGTGTGGGTTCCCTCGGTAGGCTGTGGTGGGTTTAGTGCTTTCCACCCGACCTTGATAGTGCCCATCTCTGAACTTTTTCAGCATGCTGCTTATCCCAGAGCCGAGATCACCAAATGCAAATGAAAGCACCCTTAGCTTGCAGACTTGTAGACTGGCAGTTGTGGTTCCCACAGCCCAGACCTCCAGTCTCACTCCTGTGCACAGACTGACTAGAGTACGTGGGCACCCCTTGATCCAGTGAAAAGAAAAGCATAAGTGGCTATTGGGTCTTGGGTACTCAGGAAGCCAGCATACCAAAAACAAGACCAATGAATGGGAAAAAAAAGTGTAGATCAGTATGAAAAAGGTAAATGACAGGCGTTTCTAGATTCTACTCAAGAAGTCTAAACAGTGAGTCTTTTTAAATTGTCATCACTTTCCTACTCTCACTATCTGCAATAGAGGGTGCTGGACTTCTCTTGCAATGGCTCATCTCATTGTATCTGAGCTTATTTTCTGTTTGGATTGTGAATTGTTGGGCAGAACCTGTTTTTATTAAATTTGGTGGGAGAATTCAGCTTGTTGTGCCAAGTGTGCTGCTGCAGTCTTTTCTTTTTATTAATTTTCTTTTTGTTCTAGAAACTGATATTTCAGGTTTTCACCTGATTGCTTGCACTGAGTGCCTACTGGCATTTACCACAGTGTTCTTACCCCAACATGCTGCCCTTGCACTGTGGTTTAATTCAGTCTTGGGGAGTTGCTATGATGCTGTTGTTTTCTTTGATCTGCAGTACGCTGATTTTCTCCAGTGGCATTTGCTCTTTCAGATACAAAATTGTCTGTGGTATAAAGTTAATAGTTGAAAAGAAAAACTTTATGTAGGATGTGTGTGTGTGTTGTGTGTGTGTGTATATAATTTTTTGAACTGGAATTACTACTAGTGGTTAGAGAGTAGTAATTTGCATGATGAAAAAATATTTATATAACTCATTATTGCTTGCATTTTCACCTTCTATGTTGTATTTAAATTCTACTAATGTTTCTAGTAGCTTTTAACAAAATGTTATTCTTTATCATAAATTGAGAAAAGAATTTGTGATATTTCTTCTAAGAAGTAGTGTAGAGTCATTACTTGGATATATGTGTCCCTCAACAATAATTAGTCTTTTAACTTGAATTTTGTTTTTTTAAACCTCAGTAAATTAAATGCAAATTAGGATGAGTTTCTTATTTTGTTCAGCAGTTTGGTTATTTAATTTTTTCAGAATTAGGTATGTTGGCAGAAGCATATAATATACTTCTCGTACAGACTCAAACATTACAAAATAGAAAATTCTTTTTACGCCATTAATTAAAAGTAAGTTGTGATGAAGTGAAAACTAAAATTAGAAGTGAATTATAATTAGAAGAAAGAGGAACCTTTTGGAAAATGACTGCCACTAATTTTAAAAATAAATTTTGTGTTATTCTACAGGAATGTTTAGGTGTCCATAATGTCACTAAGCCTGTATCTTCACTTTGTAATGGAATTCATTTTCTACTTCATCCAAAAGTTCTGTATGAAATTTCTGCTTTTGGTATGCAAGAACCCCAAAATGAGGTATGACATGTTAAAAATAAGTGTAAAATATTACACAGCCAAATGAAGGTAATATTCTAATAAAATTGTAAATTATCATGAGAAACTGATATTTGTCTTTGATATATTTGTTTAGTTGAGGTTTTTTTTTTTTTTTTTTTTTTTTTTTTATAACCAGGAATTGAACCCAGGGGTGCTTAATCATTGAGTCACATCCCCAGTGCTTTATTTATTTATTTATTTAGTTTTATTTTAAGACAGGGTCTTGCTAAGTTTCTGAGACTGGCTTTGAACTTGTAATCCTCCTGCCTTACCCTCCTAAAGTGCTGGGATTATAGGTGTGCGCCACTGTGTCCAGCTAGTTGGGATGTTCTTTATATAAAGAAATACTAAAGACAGTGTGGGAATATAAATATAAAATGCACTTGATCTTTAAGAATTCAGGTCAATTTACTTATGGTTTTTATCTGATATACAGAGAACCATAGTGATAGTAAGTAGGTTATGACAAATTTTTATTTTTATTTATAAAGATAGAAAAGTGGAGATCATTAAGGGAGAAAATCACTAAGTGGAAGTCATTAAGGGACAAAATGTAAGATGATGCTGTGGAAATAGGAACATTTAAAGACAGAGATACTAGTTGTGGGCCTTTCTAGGTTGTGTGAAGCATTGCAGGTGTGTGAGCGGGACAGCTCGTGTTGGTGGACCATTGTGTCTGTAGCTCGTGTTGGTGGACCATTGTGTCTGTTGTTGAGCAGGTGAATGCTGCTGCCAAGGCCATTCTGCTGTATCTGCTTCAGGGACGAATGATGATGACACTGCTGACCTGGAACAAGTTTATCGAGTCTCTCTGTCCTGTCCTTCCAGTACTGCAGGTACTCTGTGTAGTTCACCTTTTATAATACCATTTATCTTTGGCTGAGTGTGATTGATTAAAAGCATGCAAGCAGCATAACTGTCATGTTGTGAGAAAAATGAAGAGGTGCTGTGAAGGCACTGTGGATAAGTGAACAGAAAGGGGTGGCTGTTTTATTTCTGGCAGAAGGTTAAACGAGGAGAGCTAATTTGTCCATGTATGCTTTATGCAGGTGGGAGGTTAAAAAGTGAGGTGCAGGCTGTTAGTATTGATGTGAAAAACAGAACTCAACCTTCTATAAAGGATTTATGCATAGCTTACAGTGCTTTCCAAGCAGACATTAATTACATTACTAATCTGCCTCATGAGTTCTGTGTGTGCCCGTGTATGGTTTGAGTGATTTCTTGATTAACAAGCTCTTAGAAACAATGCTTTTTGAGCAATCTTTCTGGATAAAAGAAGGATGAGGGAAGTTCAGATCCTTACCTCCCTCAGATGAAAAGGTGGAGATAGGAGATACCACCATAGGCATAGCCCTTTTTCAGGAAAACCCCAGAACCCAGGACCCAGGCCTCCATCATTGAAGCTCACAGGACCTGTGTCACGTACAGAGTATTTGTATCACTCTCTTTTACCATGGGACAGAGTGAAGAACCTCATCTAGGGGACCTTCCACCACTACATCGTGGAAAATAGAAAAAATCTGCACGTTTCAAGAATGTTGACATAATTTCCTGAAGTTCTTTAGTATTATTGTTTAAATATAGTTGTTCTTTTTTTTTTTTTTTTTAAAATACAGTTCTATTTAGAATCCTTACTTTATATAGGTTATTTTAAAAAGTCACTGGTTTATTCAGTTGAATTATAAAAAATTTATGAGTTGTATGACAATTATTATTTATGAGTTTATTTATTACAATTTATGAGTTTACCTACAATTATTATTTATAGGTTGAAAAACTAATATGTATAGATTTAAATAAGAATTTCTCTTAAAAAATTATTAGGGTTATGCCGACCTAGAAGACTCTTTGGGTAACTGCATTCTCCTTCTGAGCCAAGCGGGTTCTGAGGCAGGAGAAGGCATCCTTCCTTGTACTACCCGGCTAAAGTCTGTCCTGCGACTCTTGCTGGTGAAAAAGCTATCGTGAGTACTGTGTGATGTTTTGAATATAAAAGATAAATGGAAACCTTCTAAGGAAGTGTGGTAATTTTATCAATCTGAAGGAGCATCAGACTAAAGGATGTAATGGAAGATTATTCTGTGTTGTTGATGGAAGAAACTAATATGTGAAATCAAGCAGATGCAAGGTGTTCTTGATGTTTTCTTGAAATATTTCATCCATTTTGTAGCCTACTCATCCCTTGCCAGATGAGTCTGTGTTGAAGTTCTGCCACTCAGTGCTGTTCACTAGTGCTATAGGCAAGTTGGAGAACCATGGAGATTAGTAAGTTGGAAAACTATAGTGTATTCTCATCTTTTCTTTAGAAATTATTAGTTCTTGAAATGATCCTTTTCTAAACATCTGTTCTGAAAATTAAGTTTTCCAAAAAGTATTTGGAAAGCCTTGCTAAGCTTGTATGAGATAACTCATAGAGTGGTGAATTATTTTCACCTCAGTTTGTGAGAAACTAAAATGGTCTTTTCCTTGACTGTTGTTAGAGTAGATATTTTGAAGTAAAAGAAAAGAAAGAGCAATTTGCAATTTCCTTCTTTCTCTGTCAGTGCAACATGAATCTTCTCTATTGCTCTCTTCAGGCAACAGTGGTTAGATTTTCCTTAATTGAGAAGAGAAACAAGTTTAGAGTCAACATGGACAAGCAGTGATGAAGAAGAGTCAATTGAAAAGGCTGGCAGGATAAGCAGACATTCTTTTGACAAATGGCTAATTTTTTTCTCCAAACCTTACATTAGGATAATATAGCAGTTTATTTGGAAATAGATGATTAGACTGAAAATAAGAAAGTAGGTAGAAATAAACTAAAGCATTAAGGAGATGGAAGGAGGAAAATCAATGGAAGAGATTCTAAAAAATATCTGTAAGGTATGCAGAGTAGAGTTATAGAAAAATTAGGGCAGATGGAACTTGCCTCCACACGTTTCATAGTTCCTGAGCAGGGTGTTTATCATGTACTAGTGTAAAATTATCACTTATTCTAATCTCCAAGTTCAGCAATTTAACACAATGGAAGTTTATTTCTTGTTCACTTGAGGGGACCCAAGGTCCCTAGGTCAACAAAGATACTCTTAACAGGCAGGATGTCCCCAGGAGCTTAGGACAAGGCCAGGACTTTCTGGATAAAATAATTCTGTGTTATAAAGAACTTAAAATAATTTGAATTACACATTCATTTTCCTTATTTGATTAATTCTGTCCCATCCCATTAATTCTCTAAATTCCATGTAGGCAGGAACCCTATTATTGGCCAATCTTTGTATCTTCAGAAATTGAGTACTTTATACATAAAAATACTCAAAAAGTAGTGAGAAAATTGGATACATTATTGGGACAAGTGAATTTTGCTACCCTGTGCTAAACCTAAAAATATACCAAATTTATGTCAGAAAAGAAGATGCACGAAGATATGCTTTACATGTTTCTATTTCTACCCTTCTTTTCTAGGGGTTGAAACTACCCATAAATTTAGAATCCCAGATGTTTATATAGGTATTATTGGTGTAGAAAAAAGGAACAAGTACATGTCTACACCTGTGCCCTGCCAGCTGGGTCTTCTGTGTTACCCAGGCTTGTCTCAGATTCCTGGCTTAAGTAATCATGTGTCACTCTGCCTCCTGAGTCGTAGGATTACGATTTTGCACCATAGCAAACATCCAGTTTAGATGTTCTAGCCTTGCTAAGCTTGTATGAGGTAACTCAGCAAATTTGAGAGAGAGAAAGTTACCATCTTAGAGTAAGTGTTAGTCTTCTAGAGATGAAATCTGTTAATAATAGTGTAGTAAATACCTTATATTAGTTTCAGAAAGTCTTTGAATGTTTCCATTTGCCCACAAGGTGTGGTCAAATGTGGGAATGTCAACACTGACTTGGGCTCTGCCCTTCCAGAATTTGGCCTATAATTGGAAAGATAGATCTTATTAACAATTATACTTTATTATTGGTTTTTAATAAAGTGAGATAAATGTTAACAATTTAGGTGACTTCAGGGTGACAGGTCCACAAACAGCAAGGTAACTTTTCTAGTCTGTTGGAGAGAGGTCATGTTGTAGCTATGGTCTTGTGGGTAGTACTTAAAATCTGGTGGCTTGTACTATTAGTTAAAATTGCTGTATTTCCTGGTAGTTGGAGAGAACCTACCAGAGGAGTGAAAGATGACATGTTTATTCCAGTTTCTCCTACTAATGACCTTTGTCCATTGGATGGTTTTCTGTTTTTCAGTGCATTGTCTAGTGGCATGTAATGTTTAATTTTTTCTTAAAAAACTTTCATCTCCCCATTTAACTGACTTTTAATTCTGTTCTATTTTATATAAAGAATTATAAAAGAAATTTTTGTATTTGAAAGGAGTCTGTTTGACCCAAATGTAAGAACATTTTCAAACATTGTAATAATGTTGTACTTTAGTTATTAGCTTAATTACTCTCCTAGAGTTTTAGATTTATTATTTGGAATTATTTATTTAAATTTATTATTTGGGATCTGGTCATGAATCCCTGATATGTTTTGAGATTGAGATAGATCACTAGATTTGAAATCAGAAGTTAAAAATTTAATTTTCAGATTGTCTTTAAGTTGACTGTACTATGTAGTCTCAGTTAGTCTATCAAATTGGTAATTCCTGATTTTGGATGTTTATTTTTAATTGAATAAATAATTTTAGTCATATGTGAAAGACTTTAATAGAAAAAGGAAAATATTTTTGGTAAGGCAGTATTAATAAGTATGACTAATTTGCTGTGTTGACATACAATAATTCTTGGGAATTATAGGCCTTTTCTATAGATACTTAAATATTACAAAGTATTGACTTAAGTGCTTCCTGTTTTTAGGGTCCGTTCACTAGCTTTGAAGCTTTTAGCATTTTATCTTGCCAATGAAGAAGGGGCCGATACAAAACGCCCCATAATAGATGCCAGAATTCTTTCCAGAGTTACTAATCTATTTATTGTGAAGAAACCTATTGAACTCAAACTGGATGACAGAAAAGAATTGCTTATTAAGGTAACTGTGACTTTTTTAGTTTGTACTCTGTGGTTCTTTGACGCATTTGTACATCACATATTTTTATGACATTCTTTAGGTTATATGTGCTGGGGGGAGGATGGTGGTGATTCAGGGCTGGGTTCTTCTCACTTCTAGCTATATTTGTTAATTGAACAAGTATGTCCTGCGTATGTATTGTATGCCAGCATTTGTGTCCCTTTTAATTTAGTGTATATATTAGATATGCAAATTGTTTTGAATAGTGTCTTAAATATAACATAAGGCAAATATAGTACAAAGAAATTTTGTGAGGATTTAAAAATAAATATAACTGACATAAAAACTATTGAAAATTCTTCCTATATTGCAATTGCCTATAATAGCAAAAAAGGGAGAAGTTCTTTTGACAAAAAGTTTCACCTCTTCATCTCAACAAAAAAACATAATATAGAATGCAGAGGCAGTTTCTCTTAAATATTATGATGTTTCTGAGATTGTTGTTGTTGTTAATCTTTTTTCCTAAATCTTAAATAGCTTCACAAGTTTAGCATCCATTTCCCTGTCTTTAATCAGGAATGCTGTACATCATGTGGGACACATAGAAAAGTCTGAAGAAAGTTGACCATTATCTCCATTAATACATTCCTGTGTTTTGTAGTTTCTCATTTCACTTCAAGTTTGCAACCTGTCAGTTTTTATTTAAGTTTAGATAAGTTCACCAGTGCCAGTACAATTTTTTGTTGTTGTTGTTGTTGTTTTGTTTGTTTATTTTTAAGAGGAAACACATTAGTTGTTTCCTAATCTAAATGTTAAGGGCCAGATGACAGTCCTGGCAGAAAGACTGGAGAGTCTTCCTCTGGCCACATGTAAGGTCCAGTTGGGGAACTGCTTTGTACTAAACCACTGATAGTCACTGTTTATCTTGTGTGTAGTTTGTTGGAAGGTGGGGAGGGAAAATTTTGTCTTTTGTGAGTCCTTAGGCTAGATGATAGCATTAGGTGGGAGAAAGGAGGTTGTCTTTATTGTGTTTGTGTTGCTGGGTTTGATATTTCAGACTCTGTGCTGCCATGACATGAGCTAGTAGCAGGCTCTGTCACTTCTTGGACTTGTCTATTTCAGGGTCTTTCAGAAGGTAGGAAGGTAAAAGGCCAGGGCATTTCCAGCTGGTGGCTTTGGGAGCAGGAGGGAGGTACTGAGTCATAAGTCCAGAAGGCCTTTTGCATGATGTTAGCCTGGTGTGACTTGTAGAGAAGTTAGGAAGCATGGGTGTCTCCCGTCAAGTTCTCAAGGTGTCTAATGATTGAATGGGTTATGAATAACTTCCTGGCAAAATATGTTAAGAGAGGCTATTTGACATGATGGCTCTTTGTTTTATACCCAAAGTTCTTCCCCAACCTACTACACTACTGTTGCAAATTTACATGTAAATTCATCAGTTACTTACTTAAGTTGACTTTTCCAGATTTTGGTCTTATAGCATAAACTGTAAAATTTTATAAAGAGAATTTGAAGCAGGTAAAAATGTAACTTATTTATTTATTTTTGGTTTGTAGTTGGACACTGTTGAAAAAGTACATGAAATTTTCACCTCAGATGATGTTGATCTTGTTTTGAGAAAGTCAGCTGCAGAACAGTTAGCTGTGATTTTGCAAGGTAATATCTGTGCTGCTTCTGATAGATTTGAGATTGCTGTGTATAGTACGGTCAGGTCTTGGCACAGTACAATTTGTGGGTCTCATCTAGCCTGTGGCCTGTTTTTGTTTGTTGAGTGTTTCTTGTCTTCAAGTTAAGAATGGTTAATCTTTAGAGTTGTTAGATAAACAGAAACCAAGACCAAAGACCATAGGTGGCCTGCAAAGCCTAACATATTTACTGTTTCTTTACAGTTATACTGTGTGCGTGTTCAAATATGTAAAAACAAATCCCACCACTATGTATAACCTTAATGAACTAATACAAAGTACATATCCATAAGACATATATATAGATCATAATTTGATCCACAATACGTCATTTGGTAGAATTATCATATTCTAAAATATTGATAGAATTTTCACAGAAAGTTTTGTTCCTTTTCTTTTTTAAAAATTTATTTTTATTTTATTTTTTTAGTTGTCAATGAATCTTTATTTGTTTATATGTGGTGCTGCGAATTGAACCCAGTACCTCACACATGCTAGGCAGGCAGGCGATCTACCACTGAGCTATAACCCCTTCCCTTGTGTTCCTTTCTTAAGTTATGCAATACATGTTGTTTTCAGTTTGTACAATTTACTCAGAGAAATTAATCAAACAGTGTTTTTATAGATAGGTAAAATAAAAATAATGCACGGTACCTGTTATTTTTTTAAAGGGTTTATTTTTAAAAAAATAAATAACCAGTAATGCTGGGCCTAGTGGTACATGCCTATAATCCCAGTGGCTTGTGAGGCAGAGGCAGGAGGATGGCAAGTTCAAAGCCAGCCTCAGCAACTTAGTGATTCTCTAAGTACTTAGTGAGACACTGTCTCAAAACAAAAAATTAAAAAGGGTTGGGGATGTGGCTGAATGTTTTAGTGACCCTGGGTTCAACCCTGGTACCAAGAAAACAAAAACAAAACAAAACAAAAACTGGGGATAATGGGATTTTTTTTTTCCTTAATAAGCAGTTAAAGGTAGTTATAGCTACCAATTCAGTATCAATATACGTGTGTTTGTGTTTTTCTCAATGAGAATATAGAAGAAAATTTGTCTGTTAGTTGTTGACTTCCAGCTAATTTTAAATAACTAGAGTTTCTGGTTCTAATAACATATGTGCATGTGTATAAAATCTTTATGACTTCTTATTACAAATGTAATATATGAATATTCATATTTATGAGTTCATATTCTTTAGAAATATATTCAGTATATTAAAATTTCTTTATATTTGCTATTAATAATTTGAAGATAAGATTTTTTTATTGAAAAATGTTCTTGTTAGAACTCATATTTGCACATTAGCTTATGGAGAATTCTAAATATTTTGAGTTGATGAAGTTGGAAAAGAGAACAAAGATTAGTAAAACAATATAAAGAAGATAATTTACCATGAATAAGTAAGAGATTCATTTTTACACTTAAAATTATAGTACTTAAGAGTCTGTACTAGTTCATGTGAGTATTTATTTTAAATTTGTTTTTAGGTTATAAAAGTAAGTTATACTTGTAATTTAAGTGGTTTCACATTGTACAGACATATATAAAGTAAAAAAAGTTTTTATCCTCCAATTTCAACACAAGGTGTAACTATTTTTAATAGTCTGAAAATTGTGGATACCAGTTTAAAATGTTACTAAAACTACAAAAATTTTTATTTAAATTTTAATAACTTTTTTTAAACCTATAGATATTAAAATGCATGCTGCGGTGAAAAAGTTATGCCTAATTGACAAGATAATTGAGTATTTAAATGAATGTGTGGGTCAAGATGGCAAGGTAAGACTAATGTTTAATGTTTAGATGTATCTTGGTGGTGATATTAATCAGTTCTGAAACTGAATTTAGCTGAATTTGGATGGGTACTCAGATTTTAATTTCTAAGTAATACTCACTATCTCACTTATGTTTTGTTTTTAAATTTCTAAAAATGGGGTCTCTGTAAAGGAAACCTAATCTTAAAATTCCTTTAAGAATATTGACCAAATTATATTGTTATATTGTGTGCATGTACAAATATGTGACAACAAATACCACAACTATGTACAACTATAATGCACTAATACAAAATACATATCCATAAGACATGTATGTAGAAGTATGGCCGTAAGATATGTAAGTAGATGTTATGTATAAGCTTATTTCAGCAGAAAGTAATTACTAATATTTATTTTCATTGTAGTTTCACATGACTATGATGACAAACCACAAAGTTTAGAAAAAGATATGGTATATTTATCTCACTTTAGGTGTGGTGAAGGTAAAATAATGCTGTGTTTTCCCTCTGGACAGGTTGTAGAATGTTTGGTTCAGCCCTGCCTCACACTCCTCAGGAAAGTTTTATGTGCGGATCCAGCGATGCGTGTTTCCCTGTCACAGCAGTCTTCTCTCTTGACCCTGTTATTCAGAGGTGAATAACATAAATGCTGCTAATAATTGAGACCAGCCTTAAGCTCTTTTTATTCTTTTAACTGTAGGTAACATTTACTTCCCATTTTACTAATGGAACAACAGCATTTCTTAGTATGCTACTAAAAATCTGCTCACAGTGGAAAGCACTTGCTGCTTTTGTGGGAGTTTCCCTGTGGTCCTGTAACTGGGTGGACCTTAGAGCTGAAGAGATGCTGACGCCTCTGCCTGCTCTTTGTGACTTTATGTAGACAAGCCCTTTGGTGCTCAGGTGGGACACTCTGGTCTATACAGGAGTAAAGCTGCAGCTGCTGCCAATACTGTGTGTCCCCCTACCCCCGCCAGTATCTGTTTCCTTTTTTCTTGTTTTGCTGTACTGTCAGATCCTGGAACCTTTCTTGTGGGATCCAGTGATGTCATTGGATTAGCATTGAGGCTATAGATCCAGACTGTGAGGGGTGGAAACTAGACCATCCTGAGAAACTCTAAGAATTTATTCTATTGAAAGTTTTAACTGTGAGTTTTAGAGAAAAGTCTATTTAAGTTTAATAATGTGTTTGGATAGAAAAATCTTATCTAGTTGTGTCTTTTCTCTTCTGACTGTTCTTAAGATACCTTGTTAATATTCTATACTATTTTGTTTCCCCAAAAGGTAAATCATTATTTTTATGTATTCTATAAGAGGCTTTTTGGTCAAATATCTCATGTAGAGAAAAATGAGATTTATGTTCAAAATATGTTATTAGAATATAGTCATTGCATTATAGTGTTATTTTTCCCTGATGATTTCTGCTGCTCAAATGAATTGGATATAGTTTATTTAAGTAGTATTTGGCAAAGGTCCAAACTAAATAAACAGACATATTATGTTTAGGTTTACAAAATTTTCAATAGAATGCAAAACTTTTGTAAGTTTAAATAGTCTAATCATTTGAAAGAGGAGCAATTGTGAATTTCTAGTTTTCCTTAATTGTGTTAATAACTGTGTTCCTTTTAACCTTATGCAATTGAATTTAGCCCTTAGTTTGCCTTTCATTTATAATTTTTGCTTGCATTATGTAGCCATTGAATTTACCAGTACCTGTTAGATTCAAAAGCACTGTCCATGGTAATATAATCTGTAACTCTTAGTATTTAAAATTTTCTCTATATCATCACTGTTTATGAAATATACTTCAATGAATCTGAGCATGAATTATAATGTCTCTCATTAATGGATTAACTTCCGGACAAAATTAATTTTTAAAAATTTTTTTTATTAGTTATTGATGGAACTTTATGAATTTATTTGTTTATATATGGTGCTGAGAATTGAACCCAGTACCTCACACATGCTAGGCAAGCACTCTACCACTGAGCCACCACCCCAGCCCCCAAATTAAGTTTTTAAAAAAATATTTATTTTTATTTTTTAGTTTTAGGTGGACACAATATCTTCATTTTATATTTATGTGGTGCTGAGGATCAAACCTAGGGCCCCATGTGTGCTAGGCGAGCACTCTACCACTGAGCCACAACCCCAGCCCCTAAAATTAATTTTTTAACCAATTGCCCAACCAGAAAAACCCAACCTTCAGCAAACATTTATTGAGTACATATTATGTGCTAGGTATGGTGGTTGGCCCTTGGATTATGTGGATAAGCATGGCAAATGGATCCTCAGGGAGCACATAATACTATCAGAGATTTTGGTAAATAAACAAAAAACACAGTATAAAAATACCTGTAATGGGTTTCTTGGCACCAGAAGAAATTCCGGGTAGATTAGGTGGTGGAAAAACATCAGATAATGCTTCCAGGTAATGTGACATCTAAGCTGGAATTTCTGAATTTAAATAGGAGTTCAGAGAGGTGATTGACTTCCAAATAGAGGGAGACCTGATTTTATGTGAGAAATATTGGTATATTTGATGTGGTTGGTGAGGGACAGCCGAGTTTGGAGAGCTCTGGAGAGTGGTGGGATGACACAAGGAGATCATTTCATACAGGGACTATCGGTCTTATTAAGGGCAGTGAGAAGCCATTGAAGATTGTAAACAGGGGAATATGTACTTTAGAAAGATTGTTCTGTTGGTAACATGGAAAACAGATTGAAGGGGTATAATAGTTAAGTAAGCTCTTAGACACCATGCTTTGAATTACAAATTGTCATGACAGAAGCCAATGCTATATCTTAGGAATAGACATCATCTATTGCACCATCATACAGTGTAGAAATTGAGGACTGGAGAGATTAGCAGTTCGGACAGGGTCATAACCAGATACATGGTAGAGGCAGAATAACTCAGCCTTCTGATCCCTATTTGTATTTTAAGTTATGACACACTCACCTATTTTCATTATAAAGTATCATATAATGCACATAAAAATTAAAGTTCTGAAAATTTTCATTTTCTCCTTTTATTAGCACCAAAGAAGAATATTCTAATAATTGTTTGCCAAGTGTATCTGTAATGAACTTTTCTATATTCACATGTTGTACTTTCCAAACTGTATACTTCATATTGTATTGCTTCCTTTTAACTAAAAATATATCTTCAATATCTTTTCATATTATCACATATAAATCTACTTTCTTAAAAGTGAAAACCTGCAAAGCAGCTGTGTGGTGCTTCAGTTTGCTCTTTAATGGAAACTTGTTGCAGACTTCTCAACATGACAGTACCATTTGCATGATCATCTTTGCACATATATTGTGACTTATGTTATAACCCTGGGTAAATTTGTCTCCAAATTGTTCTCATCAGTGGTGCTGAAAAGGCTTCTTTCTAACTCTGCCACCCCTGAATGTCTCATTTAAAATTTTTCTTTATTTTCATAGATGAAAATAATATCTCATTATTATGTGTCTACTTATTTTAGAGCAGTTCATTGTTTTTTCATATATTGTATATTCAAATTTCTTATTTTTTGAATTGTCTATTTTTCAGGTGTATTTGATTCCTTTTAAGTGACTTGGGGTTTCTTTTTATAACAACAGATATAACCCTTATGCTTGTTTTTAGTTTTCTTCCAGTCTTTTTGTCATTTCTGACATATTGTTTATACCAGAGATCAGCTTAAATATGTTGTGGAAATACATATAAAACTTTTTTGTTAGGGCAGTTGGGATTTTCATCATGCTATGAATAGGAGCTTTTCTAATTCCAGAATGGCCAAGTTGCTAATAAATGAGGTCTAAGTTAATTTCTAATCCCGAAATATAGTATTAGCTCTGTCATGACATAAAATTTGAAATTCAAAGAATGATGTCTCAGAGGTTACTTAACTATTATACTTCAAATTATTTTCTACTCCTGTATTTTCTCCTAATATATTTAAAATGTTTTTTTTTTTTTTTTTTTTTTAAAACTCTTTATCTAGAATTAATTTTGGTATATAGTATTTGCTACAGATCTAAATCTGTTCATTACCCATATCATGGGCAATTTATTCCAGCAATTTCTTATGTATTTGGAAATATTATAACTTATTTTATCTCCACTGAGAAAATGTTTACACAAATTAAATTCTTACATGAGTCCTCATTCTTTTCCTTGTAGATTATTATAATTTTTATTATGCCAGTTATGTGATGTTTTTTTTCTTGACGTTAGAAAAATATCTTCTTTAAAGCTAATTTCTAAAAAAACCAAAAAACAACAACCCCCCCCCCAAAAAAAAAAAAAAAAAAAACCCAAAAGAATTTCTTGTTTCTGCTTCCCTGATTTTGCAAGTTCTATATTATGTTATTACTTACTGGTGTAACACCATTCCTGTTTGCTTAGAGTACCTTAGATTTCAGGCACTGAGTTATTGTAGCATTGCAAACATTATAGAAGCTGAGGTTTACCTGTGCTAAAGGATTTCATCAGGCCATTTAACTAGACAGGAAGTGGTCGTGCACTTAGCATGTGTGTGGTAGTTCAGACCATCTCCCTATCCATCATCTGGCCACAGTAAACAGGAAACAAAACCAGAACAACAACATAGCTTTAAACACAGGGTTTTAAAGTTGACTCCAAGTTCTAGGGTTACATGTTTGTAGTAAGGACAACAGTTATACAAAGGATCTTTTAGTGAGAAAATTTTATCTAGAATTAAATGACTTGGCAAAGCTCTCCTAGAAACTGTCAGTTTGTTTCTGTGATTACCTAAAACCAAACAGTATTTAGTGAGTGGGTCTCAGGTGTCACTCCTTGGATAGCAATGCCTGCATTCTCTGGAACTTACTAGAAATTCAAGTGGTAGTCTCCATCTTAAACAGACTGAATTAGAAACTGCTTTATAAGCCCTCCAAGTGATTTTCATACATCTGACAGTTTGAGAGCCAGAGTTTGAGTGATGTCAGTTTTTATTGGTTGTTCTGCATTTCTCTTCCCTTCCACTTAAGATATTTTAAATTTGAAGTTCATTTTTTCTGGAAGTAAAAATATAAAATTATGCTCCTTTTATTCTTTAGTTTCCTTGATATTTCATGAAGATTGTACTGTAGTGACTGAAGTCGCAGCATTGTTTTGTCTTCTGTTATTTGATGAAGTATCAAGAATGGAGATGTGGTGAGATACAAGAATTTATATGTTTTTTATTTCTAAGTGTTTAAGATTTTGATGCAGTCTTATGCAACAATGTATGGAAATTTTAAAATTTGAGAATTCCCATGCTGACTGTATGTTCTATGATTGTTGGTTTGACTAAGCAGTTATTAGAAGACTAATTCAGTCAAAAAGTCTCTCTGAAACTTTACTTTTGACTATTACTAAGTACAAAATTTAAAAGTTACTGCAATGATTTTTGTCATGAATTTATTTTTAGTACATACCTTCAACTTTGTTGATTTTTCTTTAATATTTTCTTATTTTAAAAATATGAGAAAATATTTAATATAAAAATGATTAATCAGTGGGAAGGAGTACATTGAGTTCATCTGCTAGTGCAACCTCTGCTTTATGTGGCTTATTTATTATTTGAGATTTTTAAAAGATAAAAAAGAAGCATAATTTTCTCTTTAGAAGCAAATCCAGGTAGTAGCAAACATGTAACTGTACCAAATGATAGATCTAGTTCAAATCTTGATTTCATTTTCAGTCAAAGAAGTAAAGCAAGTTATTGTTAGATAAAACTTTAGTATAAGTTGTTTCTTTTTGTTTTTCTTTTATAAATAGGTCTGTTAATCCTTCCAGTAATCCTTCTTTGCCATCAGTCTTCAGTTTGCCTGTTTCAATTTTTAGAAGGTAAAGCATTTATTTCTATGATTTTCTTGCATTACTGCTGAATTACTGTTACATAAAGGGAAAACACTCTAATTTGGCCCAGTTTCCATTTAGCATCTAAATCATCTAACTTGTAGTGCTTTCATATTTCCTTCACACTGGTGCTTGGGAGGTTTCAGTATGTACACATTTCCGGCACCAGTTATTGTGCTTTGTTATTATTCACATTTTCAGAGAAGTTGAAAGAACTATACAGTGCACACCTACATACCATACCCTTCAGCCCTGAGTTATCAGTTGTTAACACGTGGGTCTAGTGGCTTTCTCCCCTCTCTATAGTAGTAATAGACTGCTACTAGCTTCCTCATTACCTTCTACCACCCTCTACCACACCAAATGCAATTCTTCTAAAATTTCTGTTACTGTAGATTATTTTTCTGTTTTTTTTTTTTTTTTTTTTAATCTTTATAAAGTGCATTCTTGGGTTTGGCTTCTCTTGCTGGACGAGAAGGGATTTATCAGTGTCATTGCATGAAGCAGTGATAGGTTCATTTTTCACTGCTATGCAGCATTCTGTATAAGAATTTACAACAATTTTATTTACCATCTTGACATTGGTGGAACACTTGTTTGGTTTCCTATTTTGATCTATTATAAATAAATGACTACTAGGAGCATTCTTAAACACATTATTGTTGTGTTAGAGTATGTTTAGATTTGTAAATACTACCTAATAATTGGTTGTGCTGTTTTACATTCCCATAAGTATTGTAAGAGTACTAGCTGCCCATATCCTCAGTATCCTTGGTATTTGCATCACTAGTCACAATAGTCATTGGGTTTCACTAAATCAAAAATTCATGTGACTACAATAGTCATTCTTAGAATGAGATTCAACATGTGGGTGCTGAGAGCTGCCCTAACTTAGAATCTCCATATCACAGATATAAAGATATGTTCCATACTAAGTGTTCCACAGGTATAGATTCTAGGTCCTTACAAGGTGAGTCACTCACAAGAGCCATAGTACCCAGTGTTGCTCAGAACTATGGCTTCCCCTCCTGCAGTTATATCTTACTCCAGATCTCCTCTTCCAGAGAAAGGTTATTTTTACCATCGGGAAAGCAGCTTGGTAAATTGCTGACATTCCAATTCTGTCTGGTTTCCCTGGGGAAAAAAGCAAGAGACTTAGCTCAAGATAAAATTTATCCATAGAGATGAGAAAGAATTTTTATTATTCCTTTACTCATAGTATTGTTGTCATTTAAAAAAGTTGTTCTCTCCTGGTAGATGTGTAGAGCTGTCTCGAGTTGGTCATGATATATTACCCTTGGCTTGTTATTATTTTTTTCTTCTGTAGACTTATTTTACTGTTCATTTTCCAACTTATTAGAAAGTTGATTACTATTACCCTTCTTTTCATTAAAGCTACCAGTGTTCCTAAATATGGCTTTAGATATATTCCACAGATTGATATACTATATTTTATTATCATTCAGTTAAAATATCTTCTAATTTCACTGTGATTTCTTCAACTCTTGGTTTAAAGTTAGTAAAAATTTAGTTTATAACATTTAGTATTTTCTACTAAAATTTTATTGATACCTAGCTTATTTTATTGATATCTAGGTTAATTCTCGTGTCTTCAGAAAATATTTTTTCTATTATTTTAAACTTGTGGAACTTGTCAAATTTTGCTTTATGGCCCAGCATATGGTCTGTTTATTAAATTCTCCATGTTTACTTGAAAATAATAATGTATATGCACCAGTTGGTGGGTGCACTGATCTATGTATAGCAAGTGTTAATTGTGTCGTTCAGAGCTTCTTAATATAAAATCTGCTTTTTTGTAGACTGGTCACATGTCAAATTCTTTCAGTTACTAGAGAAGTACATGAAAAATCTTCTGCAAAGACTTCGTATTTGTCCATTCTTGCTGTCTGTATTTTAAGAGTCTGTAATTAATTATATAATATTTTGATGTTTTCTGATGGGTTGTTTCTATCATGGTAAAGTATATCTCTTTATCTCTGGAGTGCTTCTTCATGTAGAATCTAGTTTATCTGTTGTAGAATTGCTTCACCAGCTTTTATTTGGCTAGTTGTTTGCATGACATATTATTCCATCCTTGTGGTTTTACTATTCTGTGTCCTTAATTATTTTTTTCAAAAGAAGTATATAGTTTTTGTTTAGTCTGATATTTACCTTTTAAATGGACTATTTTATTTTAATGCATTTTACATTTACTGTAATTACTAATGATTTTGGATACAAATGTGTTATCTCGCTGTTTTCTATTTGTCAATGTGTCTTTTTTTCTTTGTTTCTTCTCTCCTGCCTTCTTGGATTGATTTTTAAAATTTGTCCATTTTCAACTGTTAGCTTGTGGTTATGCATTCATTTGTGTATTGTTTTACATATATTATTTCTATATATTCTTTTACATGAATTATTATGTATATTTTATAAACTATAATCTAGAGATTATAGTTTACTTCCTTGAATACAATTTAGTATTTTTACTGTATACCAAAACACAGACATTAGAATGATATTAATTGCTCATTTCCCTTTTTTCCTATTATCAAATATTGAAATTCTACATATAAATTCTCCAAGACATTATTATAATTGCTATATGCAGTACCTACTCATTCATATGTTTGATCTGTTAGTCTTCATTCCTTCTTGGGTTTCTTTGCCTCCATCTGAGATTTTCTTCCTTCTATTTTGAAGAACTTATTTTTTGGTTTAATTTAGTGCCATTATATTAACAACAATGATTTCAGTAAGTTTTTTTTTTTTAATCTAAAAATCATTTTGACAGGTTGTGGTGGCTCATGCCTGTAATCTCAGAGACTCATGAGGCTGAGACAAGAGGATTGCAATTTAGAGGCCGGCCTCCGTAATTTAATGAGACCCTATCTCCAAAAATAAAAGAAAAATCATTTTTTGTCAGTTTTAAAGTACATTTTTACTAGATAGAATTTTGGGTGTTGGTTCTTCGTTGAAAGTCCTATGTCAGTTTTATTATTGCTTTTTTGAAGGAAATTTGTTTTCCGAGACCCTGAATTATTACTTCATCTAGGGCTCCAGCACTTTACATATTTATTTTTAAAGCAGTTATTTATGTGTGGGTTGTTCTTTGTCTTTTTTTCTTTTTCTGGCTGCTTTTAAGATGTTCTCTTTGTTTTATTGTGATGTGTCTGGGTATAATCTTTTCATATTTATGTTGTTTGATATTCATATGGCTTGTTGAACTGAAATAGTTTGCTCTTTATGTGATTTGAAAATTTTTTAGCTAGTATTTTTGTTTTTCCTTACTTTTGTAGTACTGGATATGTAACCCAAGGCTTGAATTTGTGATCCTCCTGTCTCATCCTGCCGGTGGCTGGGTGGCTGGGATCACAGGAGTGCACCATCATGCCTTGCTAATTAGTATCTTTTGAAAGTAGCTGCTTTGCCCATTCTTTTAATTCTTCATGGAACATAGGTGGCATATATTCAAGATCATGTCACTATGGTAAAAGTAAAACATAAGATAAAATAAATTTAAACAAGATTGAGCAAAGAATGATTCATGAATTGGCAGCACTCAGACCTAGGAAGAGGGCTTGCAGTGAGGGCAGTGAGCTTCCATAGGCTGACGCAGAAGTAAGATGAGATACGTGTGATAGGTTCGTTGGCAGTTTCTGATTGGCATAGCATTTGGTTTCCGCTTATTGTTTATGCTGGGCTTTAGTTTGCTGTGTAGGTACCCAAAGAGCCAGAGCCTGCTGGCCTTCCAACAGGAACTATATATGATATCCTTTTCTGTGTTTTCCAGTTTTTCTTTCTTTCACTTTAGCCTGATTATCTTCTCTTAACTATCTTCCAGTATTTTTCTTTTTTTTCAGTACTGGGGGTGAAACATAGGGGTGCTTTATCACTAAGCTTCATTCCTAATCCTCCCACCCTGCCCCTTTGTTTTAATTAATTTATTTTTTAATTTTGAGATAGGATCTCAGTTGCTGAGGCTGAGGGTTTTAACTTGTGATCTTCCTACATCAGCTTCTCCCGAGTTATTGGGATTACAGGCATGTTCCACTATGTCCAGCCTTTCTCTGCATGATTGATTTAGCATTAAATTCACATATTGAGTTTTAAATTTCATTTATAAAATTTCAATTAGGAGCTGGGGCTGGGGCTGTAGCTCTGTGGCAGAGCACTTGCCTAGCATGTGTGAGGCACTGGGTTTAATCCTTAGCACCATATAAAAAAATAAACAAATAAAATAAAGGCATGATGTCCATCTACAACTACAAAAAAAATTTCAATTACATTTTTTTTATTCGTTTCTGTCCTCTGATGAAATTCTCTATCATACTATGATTTTATTGAACACATTTAATACAATCATTTTAAAACTTTTGTCTGCAACCCCAATATCTGTGTTGTGTGTGGTCTACAGGACCGTTATGGTAGATTTTTTTTTAATTCATTTTGTATTAGTTAGCTTCATGTTACGGTAACAAATGCCTGAGATAATTAACTTATATTACATCTTCAAACTGTAAATACATTTTGTTCTGTCCCTAGCAAGCCTAACAATTTTTGATCAAACATTGCATATAGCAAATGAAAAATTACAGACTACTGATATTTTCTCTCCCTTCACAGAAGACTTAATTTTTTCTTGTCAGTAGTTACATTATGGGCAGATGAATTTGATTTAATCAGAGATTGAACTGAGCTGATTCAGGGTTTAGTTTCATTCTTTGTAAAGGCTAGTCTGTTCTGTGGTTTGCTCTCTTTTCTAGAGCATAATCCTTAAGGAATTTAAACTGGTGGGCTAGGATGTTTACCAACTCCCTATTTCTTGGCAAATCCTGAACATGCATTTTAAAATTTCTAGCCCTATTTGGCCTCCAAAAGTTTTAAACTGCTGCTGTCTCTTTGTTCTGTGAGCCTGAGCTTTCTTTGTGATCAGAAAATACTATATGGTGTAAAGTTTTGGAGAATATAAGACTTATTTTCTAGTGGTCTCATTAGAAGTTAATTTGATTGGTACAGGCTTTTCATTCATACCTGGAAGTGGAAATTTCTTCATTAACTTTTTCTAGAAGAGTCTTTCCTACTGTCCTTTTGTCTTCTTTATTAGGTCAACTCTTTTAAGGTGTGTATGCCAGCTTTGTACAGATTATCCTACAATGTGAACTTACATGGTTATTTCCTTAATTACTGGTGATGCTCAGGTTGATGACCTGATGGTAAAAAGTGAAAAATATGTGTTTTTCCTATGAAAATGACACTTTCAGATTTGTAAATATCCTGTAGCCTAACAGTCTTACACCATTCCTTTCACATCCTGTGATGATTCTTTCTGTATTCATAATTTTGTTAGGGGTTGTGCAAGGTGATCTAATCCTGTTGTTTCTTACACACGTATTAGATAGCTCCTCCCCTTCCATCCCCTTGCTGCAACATCACTATGGATTTTTCACTTTCTATAAAAAAAAAAAAAAAAAAAAAAACAGAAAAAAAACCTCTAGCCATTATCTTTATTCTTCTTTTGATGATCAAATCATTCCTCATTTATCTAGTGCAAGTCCTGTGTCCTTTTGGCATGGCCTCACGAATCCTTCAGTACTTTCCTGCTTTCTAGAATAAAGAGATTCCCCTGGTACACCTTTGATTTCCATGTTTTAGACCAGCATCAGGTATTATTTCTCTAAGGAACTTTGGTGGCTTTTCATGAAAAGTTCCAACTAAAAATATCTTTACTTATTAAATTGTGTAGCCTGACTGGCATATAGAATTATGTCTTAGTATCTTTTATTGGGGTGCATGAAGTGAAAAAGAAACTTGGGCATCTCTTAGAAATCTTACCCAGTTTTTTTTTCTAATGTCAGTCATAAATATGTGGTCAGGGATTTGGGATCTATTTTATTAGAAGAAGTATTCTTTAACATTGGCATATACCAAGCATTGCTGTCTATTAAACACTATTAATCTAATTGTAATTTAAGAGAAATTGCTGTTGAGTTTGTTCTTATATCTAAATATATTTTTTTGTTCTCTTGTTGAGTTTATTGGTGATGTAACTATAAAGGGCTAATAAAAAATTGAAATTCAGTCACTTAGGGACCTCCAATCATAGGCAATTCCTTTAGCCTTTTTGAGAAGCTTTATTTTGATCATCTGTAAAGTGGACATTATGGTACCATCCCTGAAACTGAATGACTGAGCGATAAGAAACAGCATTTGGTAGAAGGCAGGCATTTGTGTTCTAGCTGAACACCTTTTTAGATTCAATTCACTGTAGTCATGGGACCTGATTTCAAGGAGTATTAGTTATCTCTACAACACCTCTACTGTAACATAAAATGTGGCTGGTCCTCAAGGAAGCATTTAATGAAGTATTCTTTGAAGTTTAGAGGAGGAGTGAAGAATAATTGAAAGATCATACAGAGCATGATAAACTTAAGGCAGCAGTTAGGAGAGAGGTCCTCACATTATTGTGGCATGTGAAGCATACAACTAGATCTCGTTTGAACTCATCTTTTCAGTAGTATTTAAGAACTTATAAGTTTGTAGTTATTTTATATATTTTCTTTTAGGTATCATCTGCCAGTTCATGTAATCGGCCACCATGCTGTGAGTCCTTACGCAATAGTTCTGCCATTATCTGATTTTTTGGCCTTGAAGCCTGTATCAGATATGCTGAGAATAGCTTGGAACCTGTCATGGTATCATGGGAGTGATAATCTACTGAAGCAAGTGAACTCCGGAACTGATAATCAAGAGTAAGCTGTCAGATTTAGCAAAAAGCATTCAACAGTTAATTAATAATAACTAAGTAGTTGGATTTTACTTTTTCACTTGATATTATCATCTGATTTTGTTTTTAACTGAAGGTAATTTTTTTTCTTTGTTTTAAAAATCATATATGTTTATTTAAAACATCTATCACATGAACATTTAAATTAAAAAACATTGTGTTCTATGCTGTTGAAATATTATATGAAGTTTGTTTAGTTAATAGACAGAAATCATTGAAAAAAGTGCTCTGGAGTAGAATAAAACTCAATAAGTATATGTGGGAATGTTATGACTGTGGAAATTACTTTTGAACATATTAATGTTCTGTCAGTCTTAATGAATAAAATTATTTTATATTTCTGTAGGGAAGAAAAAGTTAACAAAAACACTTGGCATGCCGATGTGAAACTCTAATGTTGACAGATACATACCCATTTTCTTTTGACTATAAGACAACCTTTAATTTCAAAGAAAATGAAGATAAAACAGGATTTTTAGGAGAGTTTAGAATAGAAATAAATGTGGGCTTCCATATAAATAGCTTTATGTTGGTCTTTTTTCCTTTTGTCTAGATTTTTAGATACATTGAAGTTATCCACAAAAGATAGCCTCATTCTGAAGATAACCTACGCAGCCAGTGGGCTGCAGGACTGCTTCTGCTCCATTGTTCAGGCCACAGCCCACAGGGATGTTCGGGCTGCTGTCACTCGGATGAGTTTTTATCTCCTGAATGACAAATTGTCTTTAAAGGGTGGCATTGGCCCATGTGGGGTTGCCTTAAAGTCCTTGGCTTGGCACACTGTGCTAAACAGGTCAGTGTAAGCTTAATGTTTCTGGTTTCAAAAACCTGGATTGAATTGTATTTGGGTTCTTCACCAAACCTTTGAAGATAAAGAGAATGTATTTTATAGTTGCTATCATGAGAAAAATGCTTTTTATAGAAAGAAAAAATCCAGGATTTGTATTACCTATAATAAATAATGATATCAGAAGAGAAAAATTTTAACTTAGGTAATATATTTTATAAGGAATTATTAATAAACCTATAACAATTTTATTTATTTTCCTAGCTTAGAAAATCTTATCCCACAAAAGTAAGTACTTAGGACAAGACAGATAAAACACACTGAATGTTTATCCTGTCCATATTTATAAATGAGTCACGATGTCAGTGGATTAATAGATTGATACACCTGCCAAAGGCTGTTTTTGTTTTGTATTGTTCTCAAGTCAATTATCTCATTTCTCTTCTTATTCTGTATTTCCTGAAATTGGTGCTGTATAGCTTTGGTAGTAGTTACTAGAAAGACTCTAGTTTGAAATGTAGCATATCTGACTGGTAGCAGATGGCTGCATTTCAAAGAAGACTGATGAGTAGCAACTGTTAGCAGTTTTCCATTTTAGTCTTCACATGGTTTTAGTGTAAAATGTATAACTTTCTTAATAAAGTGTGCAGTTGTCAAAAATGCTAGGTTAAATGAGTTTTCAAAAAGTGAATGCCTTTACTAGTTTTGCTTTAATAATTAGAATATCTAATTAGGCTTTTCTTATCATGTGCTGGAACCACCTAGTACTACCTTGTGAGAGAGCTGATAGCTGAATGTTCAGGGTCTTTGAAAATTGATTGTCAAACACAGCTACTTTTAAAAATTATCTTTACCCCTCACACATCAGATAGAGCACCAATCTCTAGGGAATATAAAGAACTCAAAAAGCTAAGCACAAAAAAACCAAGTAACCCAATCAATAAATGAGCCAAGGACCTGAAGAGATACTTCTCAGAAGATGATATACAATCAGTCAACAAATATATGAAAAGAATGTTCATCATCACTAGCAATTAAGAGAAATGCAAATCAAAATCACTCTTAAGATTTAATCTCACACCAGTCAGAATGGCAGCTATTATGAAGAAAAACAACAATAAGTGTTGGCGAGGATGTGGGGGAAAAGGTACACTCATACATTGCTGGTGGGACTGCAGATTGGTGCAGCCAATATGGAAAGCAGTATGGAGAATCCTTGGAAAAATGGGAATGGAACCACCATTTGACCCAGCTACCCCTGTCCTTGGTCTTTACCTAAAGGACTTAAAAACAGCATACTACAGGGACACAGCCACATCAATGTTTATAGCAGCACAATTCACAATAGGTAAACTGTGGAGCCAACTTAGATGCCCTTCAATAGATGAATGGATTTAAAAAATGTGGCATATATACACAATGGAATATACAATAAAAGAGAATAAAATCACGGCATTTGCAGGTCAGTGGATGGGGTTAGAGAAGATAATGCTAAGTGAAGTTAGCCAATCAAATGCTGAATGTTTTCTTTGGTATAAGGAGGCTGATTCATAGTGGGATAGGGAGGGGGAGCATGGGAGGAATAGACAAACTCCAGATAAGGCAGAGAAGTTGGAGGGGAAGGGAGGTACATGGGGTTATAAATGATGGTGGAATGTGAGGATCATTATTATCCAAAGTACAGGTATGAAGACACGAATTGGTGTGAATATACTGTGTATACAACCAGAGATATGAGAAATTGTGCTCTATAGGTGTAATAAGAATTGTAATTCATTCTGCTATCATATATAAATAAAAAATAATAAAATAAAAAATTATATAAGCCTAAATTTAAAAAAACCATAAAGGTATTAAATATGGGAAAGTCATCACTTTCTACAACATTTTACTCTTTATCTGTGCTCTTGAGGTTGTTCGCATCTACTATATCTGTTGTATGAAAATACTATAAAATTCCATGTTACTTCGCCTTACACTTTGGTTAGTTGTGCAAGATCTATCAGCCCTATTTTTTTTAACATTCTTGCCGGCCAAGGCAAGCATAAAATCTGCAGGTTCAACATATTTGATATGTTCCTGTTTGTCAAAAGAAAAATTTATGGTAAAAGCCAATGATATTTTTTAAATCAGTGACCCTAAATTTTTTTTCTTTGTGAATTCAAACTGTAAAATTAGTATACAACATCATATTGAAGCAAAACTCTCAAAGTGGGGATCAATGGAAGCCCCTAGGGCAGTTCAGATTGGTCAGTAGCAATAACTCTATGTGAGCATCACATTAGATTTTCCCAGGTCTAACCTAAGAGGAGAGTACAGAGTGTGTTTATGTTACAGAGTGTGTCTGTGTTATGTACAGTTGGCCCTCTGTATATACAGGTCTATACTCATGGAGTCAACCAATAGCAGATTGAAAATTCTAAAAAAAGTGTTTGTACTAAACAAAATCAGACTTTTTTTCTTATTATTCTCTAATACAGTGTAATAAAACTGTATAAATAGTGTTTAATTCATATTTGGTATTAAAATTAATCAAGAGGTAATTTAATGTATACTGGAGAATGTTCTTAGGGTTTATGCAAATTCTGTGCCACTTTATACAAAGGTTGGAGCGTCTGCAGATTTTGATATCTGCAGGAAGTTCTGGAATAAATCCCTCATGGATGCTGAGGGACAATTATATTTTTTCTTTTTCATTTTGCTTATAGGTTCATGTTTATTCACTGTAATATTGATACTGCTGCCTAATTTATAAAACAAACTCATGGATTTCTGCTGCAGTGTTTTAGTAAGAAATGTAACAAAAATATATATCACAGATTTTTACCTTTTTATGAAAAATTAGAAAAATTTTACTTACAGAAATATGTGTATAGAAGGAACTTTGGGAACTCATCTAGTTTTGCATTTATTCAGCTGAAGGAACATCACTTTTTTAACCAGTTAGCTAAGATGAACCAACACTGTAGAGGAAAAAAATGTGTGGAGAGAAAATTTCCTGTAAGGTACGACTGTATAAATTACTGAGATAATTTTTTCACAAGCTTAAATTACATTTTTTTCTACTATATATAATGATTTCAAAATAGCTTTCTAGACAAAATAATGTACAGGAGCATGGTTGTGCTTGTTTGTATAAGTGGGGTGTGTGTGTGTGTGTGTGTGTGTTTGTATTTATTTATTTATTTTGTTACCAGGGATTGAACCCAGGCATGCTCAACCACTGAGCCACATCCCTTGCGCTTTTTATTTTATTTTGAGACAGGGTCTCACTAAATTGCTTAGGGCCCCATTAAATTGCTGAGGCTGGCTTTGAACTTGTGATCCTCCTTCCTCAGTCTCCCAAGTTGCTGGGTGGTGTTTACCCACCACACCTGGCTCAGTAAATTGAAGTTAATTTTAAAAACGTATATATCCAAAAACATATATATCCAAATGAATGTACCGCAAAAGGAGTCCTTACAGGAGTAAACACATATTAGAAAAATTCTGACTTTGCCCATATTTTTGAAATTGTCCTCTAAGGTCATTTAAGCAACAGATGTAAAGAAGTTTTATATTTTGAAGTCAAAATTAAGAAATAGATGATAGACTCAGCTTACTAGAATTTACAGTTAGAAATTTATCCTCGTTCAACTGGTTCCTGTTAATTTTGAATGTTTAATGTCTCTACCTCTTTCCTATTAAAAGTTCTTTTGCTACTGTTTTTGCTGAAGCTTTTACCAATTTCTGTGAAACAGGGAGTCTTATCCCTATTTCACTCATTGTGTTGTTTTCCGAATGATCCTTCTAGAATACACATCACCTCTGGCCTCTACTCCATGGCGTGCTATATGGAGTTCAAACCCACTAGCATGACTTATAAGGTCTTTTTTCATCTGGCAGTTGCCTACCTTTTCAGCTGCATTTCTCAACTCTGACATTATTTTATGAACTACATATATCCAAGTTTTATGAAAGCATGTGAAGTTCTAGGGCATATATTACTGTTTTATGACTTCTTGCCTTTGTGCAGTTAACTCCATGGCTGTCTCATGAATATCTACTCATCTTTGAGCTTCAAGTCAAGATTCTTTTCCTTTGCAATGTGCAATTGTCATGGAATTGTAATTACCATAGTAATTATCTTGTGGCTGGCCTGCATTTCTTCTATAATTGTTAAAGTTGTTTGAGTATTTGTCTTCTCTGCTTAGGTAGGTACCTGGTATTATTACATTCCTCTATCCTCACATATGGCTTAAGGCATAGTATACAGTTGGCTCCTAAAAATGTAGGTTAGATGAGTCTGAGAGCTCTCAGAACTCCTTTAGTCTAGCCATGTACTTGAAGAATTCCCTTCCATATATTCCTGTCAAGTGGCTATGCACCCTTGGCATGAATACCTCCTTTGAAGGATGGTCATTTTTTTTTAACTATAATTATTACCATGTTCTTCTTACTTTTGAACTGCTACCTAGTAATTTCTACCCATTAATTTGTTCATTATACTCACATGGAATAAATGCTGTCTATATTCACATGTGATAACTCCGATTATTCCTATTCATAACTATAATTTCTTCTTTGTTTTTCCTCCTCACAGATTCTAAATTCTTTCAGTACTTGCAGACTTTTTGCTTGTTCATACTGTTTTAGAAATCTCTCTGTATTCAGACATGATGTCTTTTGGAAGTTTGTGGTGTGGGATGGAGTGGAGGGGAAGAAGGGGCTATTGCTTCTTTTTCTTAGTTATTTTCATCATTCAGAAGTCTTTATTGATGACCCATCAGTTGCCAGACTCTTGTAGGAAATTGAGCAGTGAGGGAAGTTGGTTAAGAGTCCCTGCTGTTCTGGAACTTGCCAAGAAGGTAGCTAAACACGACCTCTCTTCTAAGGGATGGAGCAGTTAGGGGCCAGGGTTTAAGCTAGGCCTCAACAGATAAGTGGGATGGAAGCAGCAGAGGTGCCAGACAAGGTCATAAGGCCTCAAGCCAGGAACCGAAGGCAGGTAGACAAGAGGTGGAGGCATGTGGGAGCTGGCATAAAATGAGGCTGCAGAGGTGATAGTGTAAGATTACTATGGATGTCACAGAAGACCTTTTTTAACATTTTTATGATTATTACATTTTATCTTGTTAGATCCTTTCTTTTGCTGTGTCTTTTTGAAATATTTCATCTCAGTTTTTATAATCTGACACATCTTTTGAGCTGAATGTCATTTTGGGGAAGTGAGATTTTAAATAAAAAAATGGAAGGATAATATGACAAACACCTGGGCTGGGGTTTGTGGCTCAGTAGTAGAGCACTGGCCTAGCACATGTGAGGCACTGGGTTTGATCCTTAGCACCACATAAAAAAATAAAGAAAGAAAGAAAAAAAGTAATAAAAATATTGTGTCCACCTACAACTAAAATATAAATATTTTAAAAATATGACAAACACCCTATTACTAACAAATATAGCCTAATGTGAGTGTTGGAGTGTTTATATTAGCATTTATGTTCTAATACTTGGTTGTTCTGTGACCATGGAAAAACTACATAACCATATCTTTGCCTGAGTTTTCTCATTTTTAAAATGGAGCTGTGAATTTAATGAAGATTGATAGATGACTGTGAAGTTCTTAGAACAGAGTCTGGCGCAAGGTCAGTGTGCAATAAGTGCTGGGTATTATAATTAGTATTATCATTACTTTTATTAATGTTTTGATGTAGTTACATTAGACTTTTTTAAAAGTAAAACATTACAGATAAAATTGAATTTTGTTATTCTCAATTTTCTTTAAAACAAATCATATTTTTTTGTTGACTCTCTTGTAGCAGATTTTTTTTTGTTTTAAAGAATCTCAGGAAATTGGTATGTATCCTTAATGACATCTTTACAAGACTTTTAGCTCCTCACTTTACTACCCTGTTCTTCCTAATTATTGAAAATTAAGTCTGAAACACTGATTCTTATCTGTGAAACATGACACTTCCAGAATGAAAAAGCAACATTCGTAGCACAGTTAGAGGAAGTGTTTTTCTCTGTGGCATTCCTTTGGTTCCTTTTCTAATTGAGTATTTTCTTTTGAGCTAATTCTTTCTTCCAGTTTTTTCCGTTTCTTGGGCACGTGTTTTCTCTACTACCAGCTGCATTATTGAAGGCAGTTGCCCTGAGTCCTTCCTTTTGCATTTTCATAATCTAGGTTAGTGTCTCATAAGATAGCCTGCTCGTGTGAAGTGTGTTGGGTGCGTATGTGTCTGATGAACAGTGGCAACATGCGTATTTTAAAGAGCTAAAACCATTATTACTGTGTTTGTTATTATAGGTTTCTACAAGTGCTCCCTGCTTGTACTGAAGATGAGAAACTGCTAATAGATATCATACATTTTTTAAATAAGTTAATGAAGGAACAAAGAAAAAATCCATCAGTAGAATTTCTAAACTGGATTCTAGAATTACTTCTTAGACATGTAAGTATTGTGAAAGAATTTGGATATTGGGTTTCAGAAGTGATGCTTTTATAGAAAAGGATAATCTTTACGTGGCCTTTGCTTAGTAAAGTAGTTCTCATCTTGGAACAAATGACGCGTAGCAACATGGCCTTCCTGATATGACCGGGTTTACTAGATTTAATTCTGTAGAGCATCTGGGACCTTCAGTCTTCGTGTTTTAATGAAATTTGTTCTATATGTGAGCTTTCTGCTGAAACTGTATTTTTAAGTGGGATTGCAGGGTGGGGGTGGGATTTAAATAGGTATGTGGAGAGGTAAATAGCAAAGCCAGAAGGAAAGCAGGAGGGATATAGTGATTGTGAAGCTGGAAAGAATGAATAAAGTGCTCAGGCTTTAATCTAATGTCACTGAAGTATCTGCCCTTCCAGCCCCCATTTCTCGCAGGGTTTTGCTCTGTTACAAGAGACTTAGTCAGAACCCATTTAGCTCACTCACTGTCTGTTGTTGGTCCCTGTCTGTCCATCTATGCATCTATTTGAAAATACCTTATCTATCTAATTAACTTACCAAAAATAACCCTTTGCAAAAGTAATCAAGAAAACAATACAAAGAATTAGAAAATAAGGCGTAAACTGATTTAGAATAGGCTTCATTATATGTTAATATCTTTGCTTTGCTTAAAAAGATGATTCTCTGTAAAAATATTAAGTATTACGTATTGAAAGTCAGAAATGCTAACCCTTAATGATTGTGTGTGTGTATACAGCTTATTAGATGTTTATTATCATTTCCCTTATTGTAGACTGGTGGAACTGGGGGCTGTTTTGTTCATAATTGCATACCAGCATCTGCCATAGTGCCTTACACATAGTAGACTCCCAGTAAACATCTGTTACCTTAGTAATAAACATAGGACATTAAGGAAGATATGCAGGAAACATATAACTTTAATTTTATAACTTGTTCAAATATAATAAAATGGATATTATTGAATATGTTCAAGTTTACACATCAAATATATTTATAGACGAAACTGAAATTATAATTCTGTGTCATTGGAGACGTGTGTGTGTGTGTGTTTTGGTTTCTGTAGTTTGGTAAAGAGATAAATTGTTTAGAGTAAGGTGAAAATTTTTTTCATATTTGGGACTTGTGTGTTTCCTTTTCTGTGAAATGTCTTTTGTTATGTCCTTGAGGGTTCTGCCCTATAATTGCATTGTTTCTTTCTCCTCTTATCATAAATTAAGGAGATTAATGCTTTAATAAGTGAATTCCAGGAGCTTTTTTCCTTGCTTGTCACTTATCTTCTGACCATGCTTTTGGTCTTTGGACTTCATTATCTTGCTTCCATCTCATCTACTGCTTTCATATCCTTGTTTCATTGTGTTGATATAATAGTTACATTATATTCCATGACCTTAATTTCACATTTAGTCATAGTCCTACAGGTGTGTGTATCAGATCTGAACACTTCTCATTGCTGACTATGCCAGGCTCTGACCTGCCACCCACCCTTGGGTAAACTGGGCCTTCAGGCTTCCACGCGTTCTACCTATGCTTTCCAAGATGGCGAGTCACATCATGTCACTCCTCTATTCAAATTCTCCATGTGCTTCCTCTCTCATTCAGATAAAGCTTTAAAATACTAACTGTGGCCCAAGGTTGGGGCTCGATTCTGAGCATCTTTCTGACCTCTTCTGCCACCTCACTTCACACATTCTGTTCCAGGCACCATTTTTTCAGGCACTCACACTGCCTGAGTTTTCTTTTCTCTTTTGATGTCTGTATGGTTAACATCCAAACTTAATTCAGTGTTCTATTCACATGTTGATCAGAGAAGTCTTCTCTGATGATGGCATCTAATGTAGCACCATCCGTGCCTGTCTCCCTGACTTTTCTGCTGTATTTTTCTTTATTGTACCTGTCACTCCCACCTATGTCTGTTCTTTTGAAAAAAAGCCAGGGCTTTTTTTCCATTTTTTAATCAGGTTGCTTATTTTCCTGCTGATGAATTGTTTGAATTCCTTATATATTTTGGATATTAACTCCTCGTCAATTATGAGGTTTGCAGATTCTTTATTCCATTCCATAGATTGACATTTCACTCTGTTTGTTATGTCTTTTGTTGCACCAGAGCTTTTAAGTTTGATGTAATCCCGTTTTTCCATGTTTGTTTTTGTTGCTTGTACTTTTGAGGTTATATTCTAAAAAGCTATTGCCTGACTAAAATCAGTTGAAGTTTTTTTTAGTAGCTTTATAGTTTTCAGGTGTTATGTTTAAGATTTTAATCCATTTGAGTTAATTCATGTGTACCATGTAAAATAAAGGTGCCATTTTATTCTTCTGTACATGGATATTCACTTAATAAAGAGACTGTCCTTTCTCCATTGTGTGTTGATGACACCTTTGTCAAAAATCAATTAAATGCAAATATGTAGATTTATTTTAGGGCTGTTTATTCTTTTTCATTGGTTAGTATATCTGATTTTTGTACTAGTACCATGCTATTTTGATTACTGTAGCTTTGTAGTGTATTTTGAATTTAGATCATGTGATGTTATAGATTGTCCCTTTGAGCATCTTTTGTGGATTTTGTGAATTTTAGGATCTTTTTTTCTATTTTGATAGAGTTGTATTGAATCTGAAGACTACTTTGGATAGTATAGATATTTTAACAATATTAATTCCCAAGCATTTTATTATTTTTTGTAGTTTTTTTATAAATGGGATTTTTATCTTGATTTTTTTTGTTTTTTACCACGTAGAGACACTACTTATTTTTGTATGTTGATTTTTTTATTCTACAAATTTACTGAATTTATTAGTTCTAAAGTCTTTGGTGGAGGCCTCAGTGTATTCTATATATGGGATGAAATTCTTTGTCAATAAAGATGATTAGGCTCCTTCCTTTTCAGTTTGGATGCCTTTCATTTCATTCTCTTGCCTACATGCTCTTGCTGGGACTTCCAGTTCTGTGTTGAATAGAAATGGTAAGAGGTGGACTTTCTATCTTATTCCTGATATTAGAGGAAAAACGTTCATGTTTTCATTGTTGAGGATGATGATACTTGTGGGTTTGTTGTATGTGGCCTTGATTGTGTTGAGGTACAGCATCCTTTAACTAATTTAGGTCAATTTTTTTTTAATAAAAGGGAGTGGAATTTTGTCATGCTTTTTCTGCATCTATTGTGATGGTCATATGACTTTGTCTTTTATTCTGTTAATGGTGCTTTATTACATTTTCATATCTGTGTATGTTGAATCATCCTTACATCCTTGGGATGATTTCCACTTGATCATGATGGATCATCCTTTTAATGTGCTGTTGAATTTGTTCAACAAATTAATATTAGTTAATATTTTGTTGAGGATTTTTATATCTGTATTCGTCAAGAATATTGACCTGTAATTTTCTTTTATTGTCTTTTTCTTGCTTTGGTATCAGGGTAATTTTGGCCTCATAAAATGAGTTTGGAAGTATTTCCTCTTCTTTTTTCTTTATTTTTTGGAAGAACTTGAAAAGGCTTGGTGTTCTTTCTTTACAGGTTTAGTAGAATTTTGTAATGAAGCCAAGTCTTGAGCTTTTCTTTGATGAGAGACTTTTTATTACGGATTTCATCCCCTATGTAGTTTGAGTCTGTTTTTAGATTTTTCTGTTTATTCATGATTCAGTCTTGGTAGATTGTGTCTATCCATTTCTTCTAGGTCATCCAATTTTTTGGTTATACATTTCTATTTCTATTTTGTCAGTTGTAGTGTCTGCTCTTTCATTTCTCATTTTATTTGAATGTTCTGTCTTCATCTAGGTTATCTTTTCAAGAAACTTAGTTCTGCTGATCTTTTCTATTGTTTTTCTAGTCTATTTCATTTTTTTCTTTTACTGTCATTTATTATTTTCTACCTTTTTGTTTTTTATTTATTTTATTTTTTAAAGTTATTATTTTTTTTTTTCGTTAGAACATCTCAGTAAAATAAAATTCCGGTTTATTGTTGGATAACATTGTTTCACACATACATCAAGCAGGCCAAAAAAAATAAACAGCAACTTCATAGACGGAAAGAAAGGAAGAAAAAAGAAACCTTTTTTATCTTTGGCCTTTTTAACTGTCTCATACAAAACAACTACTTATAATACAGCTAAAGTACTTAATGCCAAAAAAGTTATTGGAATGCTCAGAATAAGGTTATTTTGTTGTTGTTGCTTTTGCTTTTTTTAGTTATTTCCCTTCTTTGAGATTATAATGAACATGGCCACACCACAGGTAAAGTCAAGTGGGACAGAGGATACTCCAAAGGCTGGTTGGTTACCCGAGATCATTAAAAATGGCTGACCCCTGACGATATGTACAAAAATTTAAAATGTAAATAAAAAATACCAACATCACCCTCTTAAAAGTACTTTTAATTAAAAAAAAAAAAAAAAGCTAGGCCTTGGAAGTTTTGGTTCTTTCTTTGCTTTCCTGTTGCAAATTCACATTGATTTTGGTCGGGTGGAGACTGTGTGTCATCCTAGGATGGCACTGGCTGTGTCCTCTCTGCAGAAGGTGACCACATTGAGATTCGGAGATGGGAAGTGGAGAGCGAATAGGTCACAGCAGCCTCTTATTTGTAGTTTAACTTTTCCTTTTTTGCCATCTAGTCGTCCTATCCATCTTCCGGTTCTTTGTGTCAACATCACCGTCCCTGTCATCTGCAGCTGCCCATTTGCTGTAGCTGCCTCAGCATCCTCGCCATCACCATCCTCCTCCTCTCCCTCCAGCTCATCCACAGCCTCCTGCTCCCCATTTTCCTCATTAGCATTACCACTAGCAGGTGGCTCTTTCATTCTCTGCCTCCTCCACAACTTCCTCCTTCTCTGCTAAGTGCTTGGTGGTGGTCTGGGAGCTGGTGTCCATGCGGCCTCTGCTTGGTGGGCCCACGCATGATGGGACATGGCGGGTTGAAGAGTGTGGGGTCTGGGACCATAGAGCTGCCAGAGCTGGGAAGGTGTTCCTAGCAGGAGCTGAACCTAGGAGCTGCAGGAACCATGCAAACGTGGCTTTTCAGAGCAGCAGGTCTGCCTTCTTAAAATTGGGAGCTTTGTTCTTATTTTTTTTTTTCTCCAGATATAACATAAGGATGTTTATTCGAGATGTTCTTTTTCATGTAAAGGTGTTTATTGATGTAAACTTGCCTCTTAGATTTGCTTTTGTATATCCCATTAGTTTGGGTTATTTCGGATCCATTTTTCTTGTCTCTTGATATTTTAAATTATTTCTTTTTCTTTCTTTCTTTTTTTTTTTTTTATTGACACACTGGTTGTTTAGAGCATATTGCTTAATTTCCATGTAATTTGAGAATTTCGCTAAGTTCCTCTTTGTATCGACTTGTAGTTTTATGCCATTATGATGGAAAAGATATTTGCTATGGTTTCAGTCCTGTTAAATTTGCTAATACTTTTAAAACCAGACATTTAAATGATTTGAATTTTATGGTATGAATTTTTTTGTAGTTACTAAAGTAAAATGAAATTCTTGCAAGATACCAGTTGATTTTAAAAAAGAATTTTTGGTACAATTAAATTTGTTTACATGGCTTTATATGGTGTCTAGCCTTTCTTTAGAAAATTTCTATTTTTTCTTGTCATTTATTATTAGTAATGGTATAAATAATAATAATATTTTTAAGGGTGAGCCAAACAGACTTAAGTAACCATCTACAAACAGGAGGGTTTACTTTCTAAATATCTTGACCAAGATTAAATTAGAAAGTGTTGTGTAACTACAGATGGGTTAGGATAAAGAAAACTTGAAAATAAAAAATTAAGTTCCTTTTAAAGTTTTTTTTGTGTGAAATCAATACAATAAATAAAGAAAATATTATGTAAGAAAGTCAATGAAATAGAATATTCAAAGAAATTGTTTTGAATGTACAGATATGTGAAATGATATGTAAAAAGCTATGATTGCAAAAACTAACAAAAGTACGCAGATATGAATGCCCTATCTTTCAAAAAAAAAATGTTAATAGAAAGCAAAAAGAAAAATCAACTACCTTCCTGAGGGAAGATTTAGGAACTCTTGTAAAAATTTTATTTATGTGTTTTATCACAATATTTATTTATTACAAACATGCTGTAATTCTTGGACACCTTAGGAAGTTATTGCCCCACTATTCTATATCTTAACTTAATGGTATTTTGTAACATAAAAAAAAAAAAAAAGCTAGAAGTGGTGAATTAAATATCATTCCTACCTGAATGAGTTTTTTGATGGAAATTCATAAAAGTGGTATATTATTTTTCTTTTTTTGTTGAGGCTGTTCAGAAATATGTAATATACATCTTTCTTGGCTGACTCTCATGTGACATACTCGTGTGCAGAGTTCCTTGAGGGAATTGCAGATCCTTGTGGCATAGGTTGCTGATGGATGTAAACTTGGATATGATGAGTGGTAACAGAGTGTGAATTAAGAAATGAGCTGTCATTACAGAAATTGTTTCCTTTTGGAGGTCAGCAGTGACAAAATGATGGCTTAAGTGGTTGATTTAAAATCAGGATTGAATACTAATGTCTAAAGACAAAAACACCTGGTATGATTAAACACTTGAGATCAATAGGCAGCAGTAGAGACGTCTGTTCTGCTCCTTGTACTTGAGGAATGGTAACTAATCCCAATTTTAAAATGATGTTGCTGAGGTTCACTGAATCTTAATAACATGGAAATTGAAGATGAAAAAAGGGGAGAACTCTTAGCAGATTATATGCAGAAAGCTGTTAATCTTAGATATATGCCTACTGTGTAAGTATATTAATCAGTAACTTCTACTTAATTTTTATCAGTATATAGAATTAATAATCTTCCCAAGATGAGGTTTGAATCTTAGTTCAAATAATTTGTTTATTTTGTCATTACTTATAGGAGTCCAAGGGTTGATTGTGAGTGATTGTGAGTCAGTCTTTGGTTTTTGGAATAAGATAACCATAGAAAATACATTAATATTTGTGATAGACTAAATGTGTATTTTGATTCTCTTTTTCATGTCAAACAGATTTTGTGGTTATGTTTTATGTAATTTTTCAAAGGCATTTCTTCCTCAAGATAAAAGTTGGGAAAAAATGCCGCAGTCTGGCTGGGCACAAATCACAAGCCACTGAAGCAGGAACAAACTTTATTCCTGAATTCCACCAGCACACTCCACACACGCTCCCCGGGAACTCTCCCGAACGCCACACACATGGCTCCTCCAGGAACCACCAACCAGAAATCCCTCCTCTGGCACTTCCCCAACCAATGGGAACTCTCCGGGAATCCCCGAGAGAACTCCAAAGTAGCAGGCCGAGGTGGACAGCAGGTGTCTAATATTACAATTGAATACACAGCTTAATATAACCATTATCATCTCAATGGCTTGCTGGTGTCACCTCTCAACCACTACTTCTGGCAAAAATGCCATGTGTCATCCCGACTTGGCTGTGGCCCTCAACAAAAAAATACTGCTTATATGTAAAAACAGCAAAACAAGTTAAAAACAAATATCCTTCCCCATACTTTGCAAAAACTCTCAATTATATTAAATATAGTTGTTATGCTTTATTGAACATATATATAATATAAACAATTTTTGGTTTTAAGTTTCTTTTCCCTGAAGGGAATGCAGTTTTGTTTTTACATTAAGTTCTTTTATATGAAGTCAGATTTCATAACAGCAGTGATTGCATTTGTATTTTCTCTGTTATTGTGTGCTGTCATAGTCACTGGAGATACCACCTGATGCTCAGGATGGAATGCTAACTGCTTTTGGAGGATGAGCTTCCTCTGCTCTCAGTATGGCTTTCCTTCTGTCTTTTGGCCCTTTCTTAAGAAAGAAATGAAGGTGCAAATCTTGAAGTTTAATCAGAAAGTTAACTGAAATCTTGTTTTCTTAGCCTAGTGCCAGTGACTTTAAGGTGATTAGTACATATTCTGTGTATCTCTTAATGCTTCTGGTTAACGCACCGTTTTCTACTCCCCCAGTAGGTTAGCAAGCTATTCACTATTTAATGATTGCTTCTATTAGGTTCCAGGCACAAAATAAACATTTAGTCTATTACAAATATTAGTTATGGATTTTTGTGTTAGAAAAGTAGAAAATTATTATCTAGTAATTAGGGTTGTAAATCTTTATAGGTAAAAGGGAATCAGATATTAAAATAAAGTTTTTGAAGAAATGTGGATCATACCATTAAGTAGAAAAGATTATTTTAATAGTGTTTTTCACTTAGTATCATGTTTGCTTAAAATATATAATTAAAGTTGTTTACATTTCTACTTACAGAAACAGATGAGAGTATGTACCAATGAGGTGTGATTATGTGTGATTTTCTCTCATTGTGTTTTTTTCTGTTCTCAGTTTTCTATAACATATGCTTTCTTTTTGTTGAGATGACATATTAAACACCTGTTGAATTTAGAACATCTTTATTGATGCAGTGAAGGCCCAGACCTACTAATTACATAGTATAACTACCTGTTAATTAGATAGTAAAACTTTTTAGTTCATCTAGAACATAGGTAGTAACAAAAAACCTTTATAGGAAAAACATATAGCTTAGAGAGTAAATATATTTTTAACAAATTTCATTTTTTAGAGCCCAAACCCACTCTTAGACCTGCTGGTTCTGACAGAGACTCAGGCACGAGAAGAAATAGATGACATCCGGACTGCTGTCAGGCAGCAACTTCAGAAAGAACTGATTGCACTTTTCAATACCTTGCTTCTCAGTTTCATGGCAGTTACTGACAGGTATCATTTGTATTGTTGAAAGTTTGGGTACAATTATTCAAAATATACTTTTCCTCTGATTTTCAGAGATTTACTTCTTTAAAATTAGGAGATATAAGTACTTTGGTACTGATAGTTAAAACTAGTCTGCTTATTTGCATGTTGATGTATGTTACATTTTAAAAAACAGAACATTTATAATAGTGTCTATTTGGTTACTTTGTTGTTGATCTGTGAGGAATTGAACTTGTAGGCTTTAGTATAGGTTCTTTGTATTTCTAAAATACTTTAAAAGCAATTGGATAGCAGGTATATAAAAATCATGATCTTAAAAATCATATGCCTAATGGAATAGGTAATAGTATAGTTAATAATCATCAATTTATATTTGAATTCATTCTTGACTACTTAATTTTAAGAATTTTATTTTTTGATAGAAAATATTCTATTGATTGATCTGTTTCTGACAGTCTTGCTTAATTATGTGTTAAAGTCATTAAAAGCTTTCATTTCCTTTTATTTTTCTACAAAAAAGTTTTTGTCAATTAAAAATTAACAAGTTTTTCATGACACTGAAGGATTTAATACAGTTTTAATATATTCAAATTAAACTCATTTATAGTGTGAAATTATTTTTTTTTTCAATTTTGTATGTCACTCTTGGATAACACAACCAATATCCATTTATGTATTTTAAATGTGATTGCTGCTTATATTTTGCATACATACTCTAGTTGATAGTTTCTCTAAACTTCTCTTGCAAAGCCTTGTTTTGAGAGGAAATGTTTTTTTGCCATTTTGTCTAGTTCATACCTTTCTAATATGTGGGAAACCCCCTGCAGCCAATAGGACAGCCCATTAAGTCTATAACTTTCTCTGTGGTTGATTTCCACCCCCCCTTTAAATGCATAGGAAATGCTTGGAACTTCTTTACGTTTTCCAAACACAGCTGGCTCTGAAACTGCTCCAGTGCCTTCGAGTCACAGATGCCCCTCATTTCTATGGCCTGCCTTCCCTTGAGCGGACATTACGAGGGATGGCTCACCTCACCGCATTTCAGGGATGGAGCTCACATTCTCCTCTCACACGGCCACTTGACATTTGCATGAAATACTTGTCAGGTCTTCTGGAGGTAAGTAAAAATAACAGCCCCAAATGACAGCTATTTACTATTTACTGATTGCTTTTATTAGGTGCCAGGCACAAATGCATTATATTTTTATTTAACTCATCATAATGGTTGAATATTTTAATTAATTTTATAAAAAATATGTACAGAAGATCACCCTGAGGAATACTCTCATTTTCAAGAAAAATTGAGGCTTACTTTAAATCTTTTCATTAGGGTAATTTATTTATTCATTTACTTTGTTTAACCATTTTAATTGTGAAATATAATACATGCAGAAAATACATAGCTCATTGAATTATCACATAGTGAACACCTCATGATTACCCCCAAGTCCAAAAGTACAGCTTAGCTGGCATCCCAGAAGTATTCATCATTCCTCAGTTGAATTCTATTTGTTCCTTTTGTAGAATATATTTTGATTTTTTTTTTTTGGATACTCCACTTCTTGGCATTTCTTGATAGTTTTACCATTTAAGTGTGTGTCTATGTATAGAATAATCTTTGATTTAAAAAAAAATTTGTGTCAGTGGTTTCTTTCAACATTATGCTTATAAGATTTATTAATTTTATTGCCTATAGGTGGAGTTTAATATTATTTTATATGGTATTATATGTACAACATTTAGAAGTGTATTTAGCTTTTCGTTTTCTAATATTTTCAGCTCTAATTACCTTCTAAGCATGTCCTTAATTATATTGTAGGGATTCTGATATATTCTGATTTCATCATCTTTTGGTTCAAAATATCTTCAATATGATGTAATAAGCACAACAATGATGTGGTTGTGCACCACCAGTAGAAGGACAGCATTGCCACTGTGCTCTGGCAATCTTGGATTTTGGCACTTGGGCCACATAGTCAAGGCTTCTCTCCCCAGCTGATCTGGCAGAATTTCCTTTGATCCTCTGGAACATGAGAACATGGGGGATTGTGAGGAACTTCCAGGAAGTTGAGTGTCATTCCCATCATCATCTGTTAGGAGTCTGTCCTGACCTGTTTCTTATTCCTAGGCCTGAGGAAGTCTGGGCTTTCTGCTGCACTTCCCCAGGGTTGCAGCTGTGGGGTATAGAGCATGGTTTGGGCTTTTTAGCAACAGAGCACTCTGCCACTTGCGGTACAGTTGTCTGGCCTCTTTGTGCCAGTGTTCACCTTGCACAAGGGACACTGGGAGTGGCACCTTTGGCTGTACTTGCAAACTGTTTATGTAATAAATTGAATCTTAAAATGGATCATTGTTTTCTTATTGGTCAAATCTGTCAGCTTAATTTTGCCTTCTAACCTTCACTGACAGCCAGAGATTGAAATCAATATCTGTATTAGGACTTTAGGAAAAACTCTTGAGGAGGGAGTGTACAGTTATATTTTAAAAGGTGAATAAACTGATCCACAGCAAGTGGAATTCCAGACCTGGATTTTTTTTTTTTTTTTTAACTAAATTTATCTATATCTTCCTACTCTTTTTTTTTTTTTTTGGTTTAGGTTTGTGGTTTATTTTTGTTAATTTTTTATTTACAAATTCTGAATACTCATATTACTATAACATTTAATATGAAATTTACTATAGCCCCTTTAGTAAAAGAGATCTTATTTAAAAAATAATTATAAATATTGAAATAGGTAATACTGTTGGTATAGTAACGAATTGTTCCATTCCATGCTGCCAGGTGTCCATGGCCAGAGATACATGAATTTTCAAACATATTTTAGTTAAAAATTATAATGTTTTTAAAAAAATTTATACATTCTAATGCATTTAGAATGTTATTCAACCTATAGGTATCTAATTTATAGCATTAGTTATAATGTGATTTATAAATACTCCATTTATGAACCTTTTATTCAATACATCTCTCTAAAAAGGGTTTTATCTATTTTTAGATCTGGGATATGCAAGGAACTATTATATATATGGCATACCATATATATATATATATATATATATATATATATATATATATAGTAATAACTGAAATGGAATTGTATTGTTTGTATTTGAAAACTATCAAAAGTACTTTTATTTTAAAAAATTGGGTAAGAAGGGAGACTTCTGATTATAGCTATATTGCAAATACTAAAAATTAAAATGAGACACTTGTGGTATTGGAGAACAAAAGAACTTAGGTTTAGGTAAGAAATACAGGTAAAAGGCAGTAATCACATTCTCAGTTCAGTTATCTTTGAGATCATTAAAATCAGTACAGTTTATTAGAGGAGAAATAGATAAAAAGTATAGTTCCTATTTTATAATGTTTCAAGAAAAGCTTGACTAACAAATCCTGATTTGGTATAAATGGGGATTTATTTCATGCTTTATAAACTATCTTGTGAAGAAAGTCTTTGTGTTTATATGACAGGAGAATAATATAGATAAACCTCTCATATTTGTTAGAAATTATAGCAGAGTGACTTTTAATCTTGGGACTTTATGCTTAGTTTATTAGGTAAATAAGTACTACTGAATAAATTAATCTTTTTAAGCACAAAGTAAGGCGTATGTGCATGGACTTCAGAGCAAAGTCATTGTTGGTCCAGCTGTTTAGTTTCTTAGTAATTAAAGTGGATTCTGTTGGACATGGGTGACATGCATCTGTAATCCCCCAGCAACTCAGGAAGCTGAAGCAGGAGGGTCACAAGGTCAAGGCCAGCCTCAGCAATTTAGCAAGACCTGTCTAAAAGAGAAGTGTGTTGAGGGGAAACTGGGAGAGTGGCTTAGTGGTAGAGACCCTGAGAGCTCAATCCCTAGTACTGAAAGGCGGTGGGGGATGTGGGTGGGGGTTGGGGGGGCACATACACAGATTACTTATTGCAAGGGAGCCATATTTCTAGATTATTTTAGTTTTGCACAGTGAAATTTGAATATAAATGTTGCTTTTTTGAGACTTAAACTGATTGTGCTTAATTACGATGGTTAAGTTAACTATGGTAATTTAATCCTTAACATCAGATAAATGATGTATAATTCCAGAGAGCTGACAAAAGGGTCAGATTAAAAGGAGATAATTCCAAAGTTCTTGGCTTGACACTTTTAAACTAGAAATAAAATTATTGCATAGATATTAGGTATTTCCATGATGAATTAGAGATAAAGATGATAATGACTTGATTGCTCAGACATCTTGTTAATGTAGTACTTAAAATTTTAAATTCCCCCCCAAAATAAAAAAATAATAGAATTCATGTAGGATATTTTAAAATTTTAAAAATATTTTAAACCATGACCCTGGTGAGTTGTGTTCTATTTTTGATTTGTGAAAGTTATAACTTGTGCCAGAGCCCCTAAATTATTTACCAATATACATATACAGTCATGTACATACATATATGTTTTTGTGTGTGTATATATGTATAGTCTTTTTTATTGTATGACTTGAAATAAACAACAAAACGAAACCTAAAGAGATACTGAGATAAAATGGCTCACATCGCAGGATTCTGTGATGACTAAAAGTATAGAGATATTGGGTGAAAGGATTGATATACTTTATTTGAAACAAGTAGTCTTCAGTTTTTTTGATTTATCACACATTTTCCCATCAAAATATATTGGAGCCTGAAAATTGTCACCATTCTCTTTTATAAAACTTTTGTGAATTATATGTGATTTTTTTTTCACCGAATATTCTTTATTTGTTTAAAAGTTGACATACTGCAAAGTTTCTTTTTATTCAGTTAGCTCACAAATATTTACCAAACCCCTGTTTGGGGAATAGTAATCGTTTATATAGTAATTGTCATATAAAGACTTTGCCACATGTTTCAAGGGATTTTCTAAGTCAGGTGGAAGGACTTTGCTGAATCAGCTCCTCTATGAAGGGAATGCCCCCCTAGAGGGGAAACATTTCTTTTGTTAGTGATACAATGTGTCAATTGAGAACCAGTCATCTAAATAATAGGTATATACTTAAATATGTAATAGATATCTAAGATCATTCACAAGCTAGGAAGTGTCTGTTTACATTTAAACCATTATTCAAGAGAATTTAACATAACTGACTGGTCAGTGAGCTTTATAGAATTAGCAGTTCCAATATGTGCTTTTAACAAGATATAAACTTTTTGACTTAAAAAAATACAAAAATGTTATAGAAATATTCTAAGTCTTAAAAATATCCTATGAGGATACTGCATACCTTTTGTACAAATCTCAAGGGGAAAAGTGTTTAGGAATATTTTTAACTGTGTTAAAATACACATAACACAAAATTTACCATCATACTCAGGTATAAAAATATAAACTAATAATATTATAAGTATGTGTTGTTAAGGTTCAATTTAGACAAGTAAGGAGAATTTTATATAGATATTTTTATATGCCATTTAAAATAAGGCTTGCACACAACTGTTCACATTGTCTTCCAGGTCATTACTTCTTTTTATGTGGAGCGTGGAGGAAACGCGATGTCCTTCATGGGAAAAGGTGTTACAAAGAGCACAGTCCTTTGTTTGCTTCACTTGTCCCATGAGATGATGGCCCATGCTCGGAGCTCGGTGAGAGCATTAACAGCTGCCTGACTTGTGAATAGTTGCTTGAAAAGGGTTGTGCTGTGCCTAGGACATTTCTAGCCTATAGGCTTGCTATAAAAAAATGTTTCTTTTGACTTTTCTTTCTAGGAGACAAAGAAGATTTTTGACTAAGATATTACTTAGAAGTTGTATATCATGTAAATCTGAAATTTATTTATTTATTTATTTATGGTACTGGGGATTTAACCCAGGGGTGCTATTTTTTTTTTTTTTAATGTTTTTATTTTGAGATAGGATTCCACTAAATTGCTCAGGGCCTCACTAAGTTCCTGAAGCTGGTCTCGAACTTGTGATCTTCATTCCTCAGCCTCCAAAGTAGCTGGGATTACAGGTGTGCGCCACTGTGCCCAACATAAATCTAAATTTTATCTGTAATGTATTTTGATTGAAATTTGCATTTGCTAGAAAGCTACATTTTTGATATTTTGGCTAAATTATGGAGAAAATATTGCTTTTATAGGAAAATTTTTATGGTTAATTTTTTTTAGGAGGAGCTGAGATTTTTTTTTTTTTCACATTATTTTGGCCTAATAATGGATTGAAACCAAGTCTTAAGTATATTTTTACTTTATTTTGATTTCTAAAGATTTAGAATTATTTTAAACTTCCTAAACTTACCTAAAGTAATTCTGTTTTCCTTTCTTTCATTCTAGGAGTGGATTTCACTTTGGTTTTTACCTTTGGGTAGTCTCAGTGAAGAACAGACTCCTACTCAACAAGGATTGGCTTGGTTGATTCCATTATGGGTTGATCGGGACCCAGAGGTCAGTATAAAAGAGAACCAAGTCTATCATGTTTAGATTAAAAATAATTGAAAATAAAACATACATGTTTATGCTTATTCATATTATGGTATTGTTATAGTTACCAAGTTTTATGCTTTATTTAGCCCTGTATTAGCTCCCAGCTGCCATTATAAAATACTGTGGATTGGGTGACTTAAATAATAAAAATTTATTTTCTCATAGTTCCAGAGGCTGGAAATCCAAGCTCCAAATATTACTGTCTCTTTTTTTTTTTTTGGTTTCTAGAGAACCATCTTTTGCAGCCTGTTGACATGTCCTTTCCTTGATGCATACATGCAGGGAGACTCTTTTCTGTTTCTTTTAAAAACACCAATCCTGTTGGAGTAGGGTCTCACCCCATGATCTCATTTAACCTTGCCCTAGTTCCAGCCATAGTCACATGGGGATTAAGGCTTCAACATAGGAGTTTTGGAGAGATACAATTCATTATAGTTTTGTCCCCCCAATTCATGACCTTCTTCCTTGCCAAGAGTATTTCCATTATTAACAGCTCCCAACATCTTAACTCATTTCAGCGTCAGTTATATAAAGTGCAGATGAAACTTCAGATCTGATTCATCCTGTGGAAAAATTCTTCTCCAGATATGAATTTGTGAAACTATATAAGGTAGTGCTTCTAAACTTTGATGATAGAATAGTTGTAGAATAAATATTCCCAGTCCAATGGAAGAAGTAAGAAAAGAAGGAAGGAATGATGGTTCTAGGAAAGTTCAAAACCTGGCAAGACAACTCCAAGCTCAAGCCCTTAGGCTGATACTGCCTTTACAGCCCTGCTGCCTCTCCACGCCCCTACAACTCCTGGGTGATCCCACCCTTTCATCTCTCTGTAAGGGCCCATCCATGCTGTTGTGCTTGAGAGTAGCACCACAGTCCCGGGGGCTCTGGGCCAGGTCATCCTGGCCCACTGACACCAGAGGAGTAGGCCTACTCTTTGAAACCAAGGAGAAAATAGCATTGTGCTCTTGGCCTGTGGTGGGAGTAGCAGACTTTATGATCTCTGAGTCACCTTTGACATTTTCTCTTTCCTCGAAGAAGAGCACACATTTACCAATAGACTCTTGTGTACAGTAGCCTCCATCAATCTGTCCCACTTTCTTTGTTCCCTGGAGTTCATATTGGCAGTATCTGCTCATACAGTGCCATCTGTATTCCTGGCTTCCTGTGAGATAACTGACTAAATCACTGTAATGTTTTCTTCATGAAATGGTTGGTCAGCCACATCCGCCGTGTTCTCTTTAGAATAAGTTTTCTCATTTTTTTCCGTGGATAGGCTGAGAATTTTCTAAATTCTTGTTCATGTCCATTTTTGCTTATCTGTTCTTAATTCCTTCTTCAAATTATCTCTTTCCTTTCAGATTTTTCTGTAAGCAGTCAGGAGGAACCTAGCCACTTCTTAGAAATTGTATCACATAAATAACAATTAATTGTCCATAAGTTCTACATTCCACAACACACTAGGGCATGAATACAGTTGAGCTTTGCAACTCTAGCTGTCATTAAAAAAATATTTTTGGGTAAACATTCAGAAATACACCAACATGTGACCTGAACAGAGTGGTACTATGGCAAGCATACTGTACCATCTCAGTCTTATTTGAAACAGTTTCTTTGTTACTTGCATTAGCCAGCTTTCTATTACTGTAACAAATATCTGAGATAAGCAGCTGTAAAGAGGAATGGTCATTTTGCCTCATAGTTTTGAAGGTCTCAGTCTATCGGCACTCAGAACCATTGCTCTCAGGCCTGTGGGCAGACAGACAGGTAGCAGAGAAAGCCTGCTGGAGCACAGCTGCTCACCTCATGGCAGCCGGGAAGCAGACAGAGGAGAGGAGGAAGGGGCAGGACCCCAGCATCCCCTTGACGGGCGCCCTGCAGTGTGACTGCATGACTCTCAATTGTACCCCACCTCTTAAAGCTTCCACCACCTCACCGCACCGTGGGCTGGGGACCAAACCTGTGACATACGAGCCTTCACGGGACATTTACTCAACCCACTTGATAATGAGGATCACCGTTCGTTCATTAACATGTTTTCAGTAATGTATTCTACATTCCTGTCTTGAGATTGTTCCAGAATCACCTCTCATGTTCATATTCCTGGCTTGCATCTCAAAATTCTTCTGGTCTTTAACGCATTACCCAGTTCCAAAGTCACTTTCATATGCTTAGCTATTTGCTACAGGTGCACAGCCCTACTTTTTGGTACAAGACTGTGTTAATAAGCTTGGGCTGCCTTAATAAAATACCATAGAATAGGTGGCTAAAACAGCAGAAACTTGTTTTCTCATAATGCTGGAGGCCACAGGTTTACGGTCAGGATACCACGTGGTTGGTTTCTGGTGAGGGCCCTCTTCCTGGTTTACAGAAGACCGCTTTCTCGGTGTGTTCTCACAGCACACAACATGTGTATGTGGAGAAAGAGATTTCCCTTTCTTCCTAGAGTCCCAAGGCTGGTTTAGTGGTATGCCCCTCTTAAAAACCCTCACTTCATCTTACGTACCTCATAGGAGCTCTGCCTCCAGATGATCATGTTGAGTAGTAGAGTTTCAGTGTATGAATTTTCAGAGATGACAGTTCAGTGCATAGGATACTCTCTTTAATCATATTCATTGGAGTACAGAAACCCTCATCATTATATAAAATACATGTATAAAGATATGAATTTGGTGTCAACATACCTTATATACAATCAGAGATATGATAAATTGTTGTATAAAGGTATTAAGAATTGTAATGCAAAAAAAAATAATAAGAGAAAAAAATGTGCTCTATATGTGTAATAAGAATTGTAATGCATTCCGCTGTCATGTATTTAAAAAAATAAAATCAATAAAAATTAACTGATTAATTAAAAAAAAGAAAATCAAAAAGGAAAAGATAGTCTGATCGGTCATTTTTAGAAATAACAGTGGAAAATTGTTGGAAAAGCCAAGGCAATTTCAAACAATTTTAGAAGGACAACTGGAAATTCTAAGTTATGAATCCTAGTAATATTTAAGTGCCACATAATGGAATTGCACCATATAATACAAAATTGTATATTGTTAGTAACTTCCTAGTTTGAGTCATCTGTTCATTGATTTTTGAGGAAGAAATGAATACATCCTATTATAATTAAGGCCTTTGGTTTTTAGAAATATTATTTGATGTAACTTTAAAGTTACATATTTTAGGCACTTAAAACTTGGACTTATTCCTTGACTATTTTATGAGTACCTTATTTTTTTATTTTTTATCCTGTAGCAATCATAGGAAATATATTTTTGGGTCAGAATTCAGAAATTCACCAAAATGTGTGACTTGAATAGTATTATGGCAAGAACATATACCACTTCAATTTTATTTGAAATACTTTTAAAATAATTTTGGGAAAATAATAAATACCTTCTAAACTATATAATTCAGTCAATTTTTGTTTTTTGAAAAAAGAAGTTTCAAGAAAGTTAAAACCATTTATTTGGAAGAAACACTAAAAAATTAAGAAAGGTAGAACAAAATAATAGGTATTCTTTTTAGGAAGGAGGAATGAATAGAGATTGAGCTCATGAAAGATGTGTAATTCTACTATGCTTTCCCTTGAAAAGGGCTACAAAAATATAAGTTTATGCTGCTTATTTATACCTGGCTTTAACTTTGTGTGTCCTTTGCTGATACTGAACTTCTTTTTCTAAATTATTGCTTTCTTCAGTAGTGATATAGGATTTTATTTCTTCATAAACATGTGGGACACTAAGTGACCTTTATAGTTTAGTTTTGGAAAGCTAGTGTTGTATTTATAAAATATGATATTTTATATGCCAGAAAAATTAACTTATGCTAGGAAATAGGTAGGATACGTGGATTTGACAAATTTCTCTTTGACAGGTGAGATTCACTTCCCTGGGATTAGGATCAGCACTGACTACTTTTGAAGCTGGCTGTGTGGCCTTGACAAACAGTTGTCAAAACATTTCTGGTGGGCTCTGGGGAACTGTGGTGAATATTCTTCTGGACCAGTCAGAGTGTAGTATGGTGCGACGTGAGGTATGTCTGTCTTTCCCTTAGAAACCCATTGCAATATTATCTATAAAGCATACTCTACTCACTGTTCAGCAGGGTGAATGGCCTGTAGCCCTTTATGTAGCCTAATGAAAACCCAAATGAAATGACAATGAAGAATAAAAAGGATATTATTAATTTATAGTAAAATTGGAGTTCTTTATTCTGATAAGATCAAAGCAGAATACAGTGTATTTTAATGTGAACTCTTCTGCTTTATTATACTTGAAAAGTGGTTCACAGAAAATAAATTTACTTTTACCTCAGCATATATGGGTCTCTAATGTTTATAAAGCCTTAATCATAATGAAGGGCTGTTGACATAACAGCTTTTTATAGTACGTCATGTAACATAAGAGGAAAATTAAACCCAAGTTCAATTTGTGGTTTTCTTTTTATTGCTGCTCCTATCAAAGTGATGATTAATACAGATAGTTTCAAAACAATAATCAAATAGTTCTTAGAGGCTTATGAAAACAATAGTAGCTCTTCAGTCTACTGTTAGCCAGTGCCCACTTCCAAATTCAGAAGATTAGTTTTCTTGTTAATTGCTTTCATACTTTTAAATGGTAATGCTTACACTTAATGCCTTGTTTGATTTATTAACTTTAGTACTTTTTATTGACTTCCAATGAAGATGGTTGGAAATTTCACTGTTAGAATTTCACTGATATTCCAGTATGATTGTATCAGAGTCTTTCATTAAGTACACACTCTAAGAATTGGGGGTGTAGCTCAGTGGTAAAGTGCTTGCCTAGCGTGCATGAGGCTCTGGGTTTGATTCCTCACACCTGCCCTACCATACACACAACAATCAGTGTTTACATTAATATGATTATTTCATTTGATCATCTTTAGGTCTTAATAGGTTGACTTGGACATTTGTGGTTTATATTTCTAGTTAGCAGGTTTTAATTGAGAGGAGAGTGCATGAGTTCAAAGGGGGACGAGGTGGGATGGGGAGTGGGGGCCTGGATGTTCATTTCTTAAATGCTGCCAGAATAGTTTATTTTATACCAATCTTTTTTTTTTTTTTTTTTTTGTGCTGCATAGAATTGAATTCCAAAGTGGAAAAAAATATATTTCCTGATGAAATAATTTTGTACAGTGTTTGGTCATCACCTAACAAAGTCATTGTTTAATAAATATGGCTTAGTAATTCTTGTGAGGACCCCTACGTATGTTCAGTGGACCAGAAATACATCTTTTGTTATTAAATTACAGTATGTTAGATAATTTCAAAGATGACAACAAGATGGCAGTATTGACTTTTTTTTTTAATGTTTTCAGGCTGCATTTATTCTTCAGAATCTCCTTGTAATTCCTATGCCTATGGAAACTATAAAGGATTATACTTGGCAGGTAGGTGATTTTAGACAGTTACCAAACTAGTAGATGTTCAAGATTAATTAGTGATAAATTTGCAGCCTATGTGAGTAGTTGGCCCTTTATATCTCTGGATTATGCATTCATGGAATCAATCATCCAGGGATTGAAAATATTTGAAAAAAAAATTATAACTGGACTGAACAGGTACAGAATTATTTTCTTATTATTTCCTAAACAATACATTGTAACACCTATTTACAGAACATTTGTATTGTATTAGATATTATAAATAAACTAGAGACAATTTAAAGCATATGACAGTATGTACATTTTGTTATGCAAATACTGTGCTATTTTCTGTAAGGAACTTGAGCATTTGCAGAGTGTGGTGTCCATGGGAATGCAAGAACCAATCTTCTGAGGATACAATGTTCCAGTACTAGTGAAATGTATATAATATAGCAAGGATCTCTTAAATTAGAATGTAGAAATTTCCTTATACTTGATCATATTTAAAAATTCTCCATAGTGTTAAGAATAATTAGAAAAATAATAGCTATAAGATATATACTAGGCACTCTTCTAGAAACTTAGTATATATTAACATTGGACAAACTATTATCCTCATTTTACTGGCTTAGAAGCTTTAGCACAGAGGGTTTATGTGGCTTGCCTAAAGTCACAAAGCTAGGCACTGATACACCTTTGCTGCTTTGAGTACAGGCTTGTGTCTTCTTACCCATTTACTATTTTGCTTCTCAAATTTAACAATAATAAATAAATTTATTTATAGTTCAGTATATATTGATGTTAACATTTTTTCCAAACTAGCACACGGTTGGGATTATAATTAATCTTTTTTTTGATAATACTAGATTGATTTTTAAATTTTATGTTCTGAATATCAAGTCATAAATAGTTGCCTGTTTTTTTATAGCCTGTGATTTGTAGATAATTCAGAGTACTCTCATTGTGGTGGTAAGATGTGGTCCTTATCCTTTTTTTAAAAAAAATTTATGTTTATTTAGTTGTTGATAGACCTTTATTTTATTTATTTATATGCAGTGCTGAGAATTGAACCCAGTGCCTCACACATGCCGGGCAAGTGTGCGCTACTCCTGAGCCATAGCCCTTGGTTCTTATCCTTTTAACTGCCCACATGTCTTCATCCTGTCAGTGTGTTATTTATCATAGTGTTATTCAGTACTCCTCAGGGTACTATGCAAATCTAAGGTTTCTTTTTATATTTTCATTAGAACCTATGCTTACAGAGGTTACTGGATCGAACTGAGCTGCAGGACAGAGCTTGGCTAGGACTAAAGCATAACTGAGGGGCCATCAGGGCAGATTGCATTTAACTCCAAGCAGGTTTACCTCTGGTCTCAGCCACCCGTTCCCTCTGCCAGCTCTACATCCCAGGCCACCTTTCCACTGGTGCCTCATGATTTGCTTAACATTGCCTTCTGACAACGGTTGCTCTTCACAGTCTGTGTTGTCATAAAACCATAAGAGACAGTGAAAGGAATATATAGTGTAGTAGTTTAGGTGTCTACATTTCAAAATGTTATTCTTTTTTGACCCAATTCCAAATCATCTCTACTTTCATCATTAAGCTAGTGACAATTGTATATTGTAAGCTTGGTGATGTACTGGCAGTGAATTTATATTCTTGAAATATGTATAATCTAGTAAGAGCAGTAAGATTTCTGGGTTATATTAGAGTAACGTGTAGAAATTCATAGTTTTCTATTATAAGATAAATGATAGTTTCTATTTGTCACTGAAGACACATTTGCTGCAGTTCATTGGATTTGTCATCATTTTCTTATAAAAATTTGAAAAGCAATCATGAAATTAATCTGGAAAAATAAGAGACCCAGAATAGCTAAAGCAATTCTAAGCAGGAAGAGTGAAACAGGTGGTATAGTGATACCAGACCTTAAACTATAATACAGAGCAATAGTAACAAAAACAGCATGGTACTGGCACCAAAACAGGCTGATAGACCAATGGTACAGAATAGAGGACACAGAGACCAACCCACAAAATTACAACTACCTTATATTAGACAAAAGTGCCAAAAGCATGCACTGGAGAAAGGATAGCATCTTCAACAAATGGTGTTGGGAAAACTGGAAATCCATATGCAACAAAATGAAATTGAATCCCTTTCTCTCACCATGCACAAAAGTTAACTCAAAATGGATCAAGGCTCTATGGATTAAACCAGAGACTCTGCGTCTAATAGAAGAAAAAATAGGCCCTAATCTCCATCACGTGGGGCTAGGCCCCTACTTCCTTAATAAGACGCCTATAGCACAAAAATTAAAACCAAGAATCAACAAATGGGATGGATTCAAGCTAAAATTTTTTTTTTCTCAGCAAAAGAAATAATATGTGAGGTGAATAGGGAGCCTACATCCTGGGAACAAATTTTTACCCCTCACACATCAGAGAGCTCTAATCTCCAGGATATATAAAGAGGTCAACAAGATAAGCACCCCAAAAAACCCCAAATAATCCAATCAATAAATGGGCCAAGGACCTGAATAGACACTTCTCAGTGGAGGACATACGATCAATCAACAAATATAGGAAAAAACGCTCATCATCTCTAGCAATCAGAGAAATGCAAATTAAAACTACTCTAAGATACCATCTCACTCCAGTAAGAGTGGCAGCCATGATGAAGACAGACAACAAGTCCTGGCGAGGATATGGGGAAAAAGGCACACTCATACACTGCTGGTGGGACTGCAAATTGGTGTAGCCAATTTGGAAAGCAGTATGGAGATTCCTTGGAAAACTGGGAATGGAACCACCATTTGACCCAGCTATTCCTCTTCTCGTACTATACCCAAAGGACCTAAAAACAGCATATTACAGGGACATAGCCACCACAATTCACAATAGCTAAACTGTGGAGCCAACCTAGATGTCCTTCAGTGGATGAATGGTTTAAAAAAAAATGTGGCATTTATACACAATGGAATATTACTCAGCAATAAAAAAGAATAAGATCATGGCATTTGCAGGGAAATGGGTGGCATTAGAGAAGATTATGCTAAGTGAAGTTAGCCAATCTCAAACAAACAAATGCCGAATTTCTTCTCTGATATAAGGGAGGTGACTCAAAATGGGGTTGGGAGGGAGAGCAAGGGAGAAAGATTACCTCTAGATTGGGAATAGGGGTGGGAGGGAAAGGGAGGGCGAAGGGGAATAGCATGGATGGTGAAAGGAGACCCTCATCATTATACAAAATACATGTATGAAGATGTGCATTTGGTGTCAACATACCTTATCAGAGATGTGATAAAAATGGTATATTAAAATTGTAATGCAAAAATAAATGTAAAAAAACTAAAAATTAAAAAAGAATAAAGGGGATCAATAAATGGAAAATAAAAAAAAATTGAAAATGGAACTTAAGCAAGCTGTAGAGTCCTTTGCCTTGTCCAAATTGACTAAAATCTAAAAAGTTTGAGAGCTAGTCCAATGCCAACTGGAACTTCAGGAAACTTTGCTAGTCTTAAGCAAAATTAGAAAAATAAAGACAGTCTTATGTGCTTTTAAAAATAAACTCAGATTTTCTCTGTCTTTTAAAACTCTGTTTTTATTATCTTTTGATTTTATGTGTTCTCACTAAGCCCTGTAAATAGTTGGTAACCTAATACTAGTCCCTAATATTAAAAAATGTAGTGGTGTGCTTAAAATCCCAAGTGGAAAGAAATAGTTGCTTTCAAAAAGGGGAAAATAGTCTTGAAATATATATGATGGAGTTGTGTAGTCTCAGAGAATTTATAACCTTTCCAAGTTTTTAGAGTCAGAGAGAAGGAGACATGTGCCCATCCAGTATGCTAAAATTAGAAGTCACTGGTAAAATTATGAATAATAACTTATTCAAAGAATTGTTTTATTGGTGTACCTTCCTCATTATCTTAGAGGACACAGCATGAAGTAGCATGTGGAGGAGCCATGTTAAGGATTTATTTTGTTTGAGGTAGCTGTTTGATTTTTAACAAATAAAACTTGTTCTGCTGTGTAATTTGTTGAGATGCTTGCAGTCTAAATTGCTGACTTCTGATACTCTAGTTCTGCTTGGCCTTCTGGAGCAGCCTCGGCATGAGCACCACCCACCCTGGCCCTGCCAGCATGAACTCCTATTTCACGTCAATATCTGGAATTGTAATGCTTCTGAGTAATAATAAGACACATATAATTATGAATCATTTGGGTTTGCCTTTTATTGTTAGATGCTGGAAAGTTTAGAACCCCCAAATATAGCTCTTCTGGTATATACTTTTTTTAAGCTTTATGTCTGTTTTCACTTTTTTTTTTTTTAAATCACCCACTTTCTTTTTTTCTTTCAACCTTGCTCCACGTCTACCATTATTGCTAAAATTGACCTTTTCCTGTAATGAGGCTTAAATCTTCTGGAAAAAAGTAAAGATTAAATACAACAATTTTTTTTTTTTTTTTTTTTTTTGGTACCAGGGATTGAATCCAGGGGCACTTAACCACTGATCCACATTGCCAGCCCTTAAAAAAAAAAAAAATTCTGTTTTGAGACAGGGTCTTGCTAACTTGCTGAGGCTGGCTTCAAATCTGTGATCCTCATGCCTCAGCCACCTGAGTCACTGGGATTTCAGGTGTGTACCCCTATGCCTGACTTAATTTTTTAATTTTAAAAAGTTTTTTTTAAAAAAATAATTTTCCTAACCTCTCTCATCCATTTTAATCTTCCTCTCAGGAAGATACTAGCAATTAATGTTTTTGCCATTGAATTAGTTTCTTTTCCAAATATTAGCTTTATTCTCTTTCCATATTTCTGACCATTTACTTTAATCTTCTTAAGTAGAATGTTTCTGAACATTAGGTCCATAGTTTATGTGGTGTGTGTGTGTGTGTGTGTGTGTGTGTGTGTGTGTGTGTCACACCCGGGATTGAGCTCAGGGCCTTGCACTTGCTAGATGAGTGTTCTACTACTAAGCTGCTAGATAGAAGCTCTTTTTAAATTTTGTTTTGAGACAGAG